CACAGGAGGAGGCTTAGCCCACCATGCCACAGCGCTGGCCCCCTGTTGCTGGGATTTTAAAGTGGTGCAACCACTGTACAAAACAGTTTTGGCAGTCCCTCGAAAAGTTAAACATAGAATTAGCCTATGCCCCAGCAATACTCTTCTGGGCTGTATACCCAAGAGTTGAAAGCAGGAACTCGGAACAGGTACTTTTACTCCAGTGTTCATAGCAACATTGTCTAAACCCGAAGGGTGGAAACGACCCAGATGTCTGTCAACAAAGGATAAACAACATGATATGAGGTTTTTTTTTTTTTTAAAGTTCATGGAAAATGCATTTTTTGAAAAAACTATGCATGGTTTTCAAAAATCGCACCAAAATAAGCTAGTACTGATGTGTTCATACTTATCTGAACAGGACCTAGTTTGACACACTAAGAAAAGTAAGACATCAATTTGAAAAGAGCCCCTACGTGCCAGAGCTGTGGCATAGTGGGTAAAGCTGCCACCTGCAGTGCTGGCATCCTATATGGGCGCCGGTTCTAGTCCCGGCTGCTCCACTTCCGATCCTGCTCTCTGCTATGGCCTGGGAAAGCAGTAGAAGTTGGCCCAAGTCCTTGGGCCCCTGCACCTGCGTGGGAGACCCAGAGGAAGCTCCTGGCTTCAGATCGGCGCAGCTCTGGCAGTTGCGGCCTCTGGGGAGAGATCCAGCAGATGGAAGACCTCTCTCTCTCTCTCCCTCTGCATCTCTTTAACTCTGCCTTTCAAATAAATAAGCAAATCTTAAAATCAGCAAACATGAATTCTGCTAAAACTGAAGCAAAAGCAGCAAATTCATGGTGAAGGTTGGGTAGAAGAGTGGTGAAATCATTGGTGCTTTATGAAAAGTTTCTGGGGACAGTGCGCCAAAAAAAGCAGCAGGTTACAAGCGAATAACTCATTTTAAGAAGGGATGACATGATGTTGAGTATGAACCCTGCAGTGACAGGGGAAAAAATGTGTTTCTTGCCCTCCTTGAAGAGAACTGACGGTTGACAGCAGCGACAGCGGACAGCACTATAGATACCTCAGTTGGCTCAGCTCACATGATTCTGACAGGAAAATGAAAGTGGAGTAGATCAATGAGGGCTCAGACTCTTGCTTCCAGATCAGCTGCAGACAAGAGCAGAGCTTCCGATGGAAATTCCCCACACGTGGGATCAAGATCTTGACGCCTTTCTTTGAACGATTGTGATGGGAGATGGTCAAGGCTTTCCCAGTGCAGTCCTGTCCTGTAGCACGAGCAGAGAGCTGGAAGTGGGTCCTGTAAAACAGTGGGTTGATCAAGAGCAAGGGGCAGAGTTTCTTGGGATGGGCAAGATGTTTTGCTTATTAGCTTTCTGGAGGGCCAAAAAATAGCATCTGATTTTTATGAGAGTGTTTTTAGACAGCTTTGTCTGCCATGACAATCCTGCTCATGCTTATCAAATGGGCAGATTTGTGAGAGTTTTGATGAGAAATCTTTAGGGATACACCTCACAGTTCTGATTTGGCTCTGACTTACTTTTGTTTCCTAATCTTAAAAAAGTCTTTAAAGGGCACCCACTGTCTTTTAGTTGACATTGTAAAAAAGATTTAATCAACATGGTTAAATTCTCAAGAATTTAGGGTTCAAGAATTTCTTTAGTGTATAAGAAGTTTTTTTTTAGAATGTATGGAAGTGTGTATTGTAAAAAAACTGTGCATGAATTTTTTTATTTTGTACCAAAATAACCTCATACTTTAAAAAAATTTTTATTTATTTATTTATTTGAAAGAGTTACAAGAGAAAGGTAGAGACAGAGAGATCTTCCATCCGCTGATTCACTCCCCAGATGGCCACAACAGCCGAAGCTGCATTGATCTAGAGCCAGGATTTTCCTCCAGGTCTCGCATGTGTGCTGGTGCCCAAGGACTTGGGCCATCTTCTGCTTTCCCAGGCCATAGCAGAGGGCTGGATCGGAAGTGGGGCAGCTGGGACTCGAACCACCGCTTATATGGGATGCTGGTGCTGCAGGCTGGGGCTTTAACCCGCTGTGCCACAGCACTGGCCCTCCTCATACTTTTTTATTTTTTTAAAGATTTATTTTATTTATTTGAAAGAGTTACAGAGAGAGGTCTTCCATCTGCTGGTTCACTCCCCAGATGGCCACAATGGCCGGAGCTGAGCTGCTCCAAAGCAAGGTGCCAGGAACTTCCTCCAGGTCTCCTGCGTGGGTGCAAGGGCCCAAGGACTTGGGCCATCTTCTTTCTACTGCTTTCCCAGGCCATAGCAGAGAGCTGGATCAGAAGAGGAGCAGCCAGGAGGACTAGAACCCACGCCCATTTGGGATGCTGGCTCTGCAGGCTGGGGCTTTAATCCGCTGCGCCACAGCACTGGCCCCAATCCACTCATACTTTTAATACCTGTTTTTCATGCATATTTTGAAGAACTCTACTATAAACATGTGTATGCTTAAAAAAGCACCAGCACTTAGATATGAAACTTAGTGTGACAAAAAATAGAGGAGAAATATTTGAGGACATAATACTGATTGATTTCCCAGAATTGAAGAAAGATGAAGAACTCAGATTGGACAAGTCTGTGTAGAAAACCATAGAAGGCCGGTGCCATGGCTCAATAGGCTAATCCTCCACCTAGCGGCGCTGGCACACCGGGTTCTAGTCCCAGTCGGGGCGCCGGATTCCTTCCTGGTTGCCCCTCTTCCAGGCCAGCTCTCTGCTGTAGCCAGGGAGTGCAGTGGAGGATGGCCCAAGTGCTTGGGCCCTGCACCCCATGGGAGACCAGGAGAAGCACCTGGCTCCTGCCTTCGGATAGGCGCGGTGCGCCGGCTGCAGCGCGCCAACCGTGGTGGCCATTGGAGGGTGAACTAACGGCAAAAAGGAAGACCTTTCTCTCTGTCTCTCTCTCTCACTGTCCTCTCTGCCTGTCAAAAAAAAAAAAAAAAAAAAAGAAATTTAAGGAAAAATTTTTATATCTCTGTACATTATAATGAAATGTAAGACTATTAGAGATGAAGTCTAAAAGTGAACTACATTACAAATGAATACAATTAAAATTGACAACACATTTTTTACCTGTGGTATTGACTGCAAGAAGACAATGGGATAATACTTTATGAATACTGGAGAAAGTGTTGAAAGAAAATAACTTTGAGCCTTGAATTTTATATCCAGCCAACTGTCCATCCAGTGTGAGGGCATGATTGAAATATTCTCAAACACAGAGGACCTTAGAGAATGAGCTGTCCAGAGCCTCACATGGGAAACATTTTGGAGAAGGAAGTCAAAAGAGCAGAGCAGGTGTTAGAAAGACCTGGAATGTACATGTGTAAGGCCTGTAAATTAAGGGGTGGTAACAAGTACCAAAGTAAAACTTGTCTTGAAGGCCAAAGGAAAGAATATTTTTGGTTTCAGGGTGGGGTGTGGTTGGAGGGGAGGTCAGAGGGTGTGGTGAAATTCTTGTCTTGATAAAAGGGTGTATAGGATAGCAGCTTTAGTCAACTAAAAGAAGGGGTTTAAAAAGCATAGAAGCAGCAAAGGACAAGTTCAGTTTAATAAACTTGTAGTTAAAAGGCAGAGATTAATGTTATGAAAAGTCCAACTTTATGTTCAGTTTTTGTGGGAAAGAACCATAAACCATAGTTTAGGATTATGTAGGTGGGAGGCATGCATAGGTTTTGTCTGAAAATTGAAGATTCCTGACAGTGTTTTTGTTTCTATGAGTTATAGCTGTCTATGGTTAACATAGTTAGAAATAAAAAGTGCGGGGCTGGTTTTGTGGTGTAGTGGGTAGTGATGATGGCATCCCCTATGGGGCCGGTTCTTGTCCTGGCTGCTCCATTTCCAATCCAGCTCTCTGCCAGTGGAGGATGGCCCAAGTACTTGGGCTCCTGCTACCGTTGTGGGAGACTCAGATGAAGCTCTTGACTTCAGCCTGGTCCAGCCCTGGTCATTTCAGCCATCTGGGGACTGAACCAATGGATGGAAGATCTCTGTCTCTCCTTCTTGCTTTCTGTAACTCTTTGAAACAAATAAATCTTAAAAAAAAAAAAAAAGAAAAAGGAAAAAGTTAAAAATTTCTGTTAAAATAACAACATAGTACTCCTTATATGTTGACATGAGTGAAGTTTTTATGAAATCGGTATTTTCCAGAAAAACAAAGAATTTAGAGTGGTGTTGTTTGCATACATTTTTGCAAATCTCTTTAATGTCTGGTTTAATAAAAGCTACTTTGCACACTCTTATCCGCTTCTGCAGCCACTGTGTTGGCAATATGCTGCTTTTGATTGAGGTATATGAGGAGATTCTTAGGACCTCTTGACTCTTTTGAAAGGGTCCTGGTGGAGGAGGGGAAGAAGGAGGGATAGGGCAGGTGTTTGGGCCAGTGATTGAGGCGCCCACATCCCGCATTGGTGTGCTTGGGGTCAATTCCCAACTCTGGCTCCTGGTTCCAGCTTCCTGCTCAAACCTTGGGAAGCAGCGGTGACGGCTTAAGTGGATGGGTCCCTGCCACCCACGTGGGCAACCTGGATCTAGCTTCCAACTCTTAGATTCTGTTCTGGCTCACCCCTGGACCTTGGCTACCAGTCAGTAGGTGGGAGCTTGCTCTTTCCCCCTCCCCCACTTCTTCTTCTCAAGTCAATAAGAATAAATTTAAAAAGAGGGGAGGGGGAATGATCTTGGGAACTCTGGTGATCCTGAGAGAACACTTTGAGAGTGTTTGAAGTGTAATTGGTTCCATATGATTTGTACCGAAGTGCTCCAAATTTTCTTGGGTTTTCTTTTCAGTTACATAATGGGCTCCTTAAAATAGGTACTCAGAAAATTGAAGACAAATATTTCTCTGGTACAAATTCTTACACCTCCAAGTACTTAATTTGAAGTAATAACCTTCAAGCAGATACATAGAAGTCACAGTACTTTTGAAACTACCTTTTATTCAGCTTGTTGATCTTATAAGGCATTTAACTGATGGATTTGTTTTCTCACCGTTTCAGAAAAAAGCCAAAGGACAAGAGCTGTTCGATCAGATTATGTATCATCTGGACCTTATTGAAAGCGACTATTTTGGCCTGAGATTTATGGATTCAGCTCAAGTTGCAGTGAGTAACTTTTTTGGAGGTTCCAGTATGGGTGCAGAAGTGGAAAAGTTCAGAGCATGTGCTGAGCGCTAGGAGACTACATATCCTTCATGTGGTGGTGTTCTTTTTTTTTTTTTTTAAAGATTTATTTATTTGAAAGGCAGGGTTACAGAGCTGCAGAAGCTGGTGGGGTGGGGGGTGTCCTTCCAGATCTACTGGTTCATTCCCCAAGTGGCTTCAGTGGCCAGACCTGGCTGATCCAAAGCCAGGAGCCTCCTCCAGGTCTTCCACGTGGGTGCAGGGGCCCAAGGACTTGGGCCATCTTCTACTGCTTTCCCAGGCCATAGCAGAGAGCTGGAATGGAAGTGGAGTAGCCGGGACTTGAACTGGCGCCCATATAGGCAGTGTTTTACAGTTTCAGTCTAGGTATTTTACCTCCTTGATTAAATGTATTACTAAAGCATTTTATTTCACTGATTGATGCTATTGTAAACAGAGTTGTTAACCTAATTTTATTTTCAGATTATTCGGTTAGTTTATAAAAATTGATTCTTTAATGTGAATCTCATATCCTACAGCCTACCTGAAAGTGTTTAATAGTTTGTGTGTGCTTTAGACATGTTATCAGCAAAAAGAGGTAGTTGTTCTTTATAGTTTGGATGTCTTTAATTCCTTTTTATGGGATTTTTGAATAGAAGTATTGAGAGATGACATCCTTGACCTGCCTCTGATCTTATGAAGATGTGTTCAGGGTTTCACCATCAAATATGATATTACTTTTGGGAATTTAAAAAAAAAATTTTTTGACAGGCAGAGTTAGAGACAGAGAAAAAGGTCTTCCTTCCATTGGTTCACTCCTCAAATGGCTGCAATGGCCGGTGCTGTGCCAATCCGGAGCCAGGAGCCAGATGCCTCTTCCTCGTCTCCCATGCGGGTGCAGGGGCCCTATTTCAGACGTCATTATCCCTTTCTGGGCCACAGCAGAGAGCTGGACTGGAAGAGGAGCAACCGGGACTCGAACCTGGCACCCATATGGGATGCCGGTGCCGCAGGTGGAGGATTAACCAAGTGAGCCACGGCGCTGGCCGACTTTTGGGAATTTCAAGGTGTCCTTTATCAGGTCGAGGGACTCTTATTCCTAATTTGTTGAGGCTTTTATTATGAAAGGGTATTGGGTTTTGTCAGTTGCCTTTTTCTGTATCTGTTGAGAAGATAATGTGATTTATTTCCTTCATCCTGTTAATTTGGTATATTAGTTACATTGCTTGATTTTGTATGTTGAACATTTCAGGGATAAATCCTACTTGATAATAACGTGTAATCCTTTTAATAATGTTGCTTGATTTGGTTCGCTAGTATTTTGATGAGAATTTTGGCATCTGTTTTTATAAAGACTATTGAGCTGCAGTTTTCTTGTGATGTCTGTGTCTGGTTTGGATGTTAAGGTAACCCTGACCTGATAGAATGAGCTAGGGACGCATTCACTCCTATGTTTTTGCAAGGTCTTGGGGAAACTGGTGTAAATTCTTCTTTCAGTATTTGATAGAATTCATCAGTGAAGCCATGGCCATGGGCTTTTTCTTTGTGAGATGTTGATCATTCTCTTATTCACTTGTTACAGGTGTGTTCAGCGTCTTGATTTTTTTCTTGAATCAGCCACTTTAGAGAGTGAAAGAGGGGCCAGCGCCGCGGCTCAATAGGCTAATCCTCCGCCTGCGGCACCGGCACCCCAGGTTCTGGTCCCAGTTGGGGCACCGGATTCTGTTCCGGTTGCCCTTCTTCCAGGCCAGCTCTCTGTTGTGGCCAGGGAGTGCAGTGGAGGATGGCCCAGGTCCTTGGGCCCTGCACCCGCATGGGATACCAGGAGGAAGCACCTGGCTCCTGGCTTTGGATCAGCACAGTGCACTGGCCGAGGCGTGCCAGCCACAGCGGCCATTGAGGGGTGAACCAACTTGGTAAAGGAAGACCTTTCTCTCTGTCTCTCTCTCTCTCTCTCACTGTCCACTCTGCCTGTCAAAAAAAAAAAAAAAAAAAAGAGTGAAAGGGGAACTTTACTGAGTGAAGAGATGGAATATAGGCATAAACCAGTATTGTTCTGGTAAACTTATCCTCACCCTCGTTATTTAATGGACCTTAGAATACTGTACCGTCCTTTCTTTTAAAATCTAAACTTGGGGCCGGCACCGTGACTACTTGGTTAATCCTCCACCTGCGGCGCCGACATCCCATATGGGCGCCGGGTTCTAGTCCTGGTTGCTCCTCTTCCAGGCCAGCTCTCTGCTGTGGCCCGGGAGTGCACGGGAGGATGGCCCAAGTGCTTGGGCCCTGCACCCGCATGGGAGACCAGGAGGGAGCACCTGGCTCCTGGCTTCGGATCGGCACAGCGCCGGCCGTAATGGCTATTTGGGGGAGTGACTCAGCAGAAGAAAGACCTTTCTCTCTGTCTCTCTTTCTCACTGTCTGTATCACTACCTGTCAAATAAAAAAACCTAAACTTAATATATTATTATATAAGTCATTTTATATGTCATATTTTTTAAAAAAATTATTTATTTGAAAGGCAGAGAGAGAGAGAGAGAGGCGTTCCATCCTCTGGTTCACTCCCCAGATGGCCGCAATGGCCAGAGCTGTGCTGATCCGAAGGCAGGAGCCAGGAGCTTCGGGTCTCCCATGTGGGTGCAGGGGCCCAAGGACTTGGGCCATCTTCTACTGCTTTCCCAGGCCACAGCAGAGAGCTGGATCAGAAGTGAAGCAGCTGGGACTGGAACCAGTGCCCATATGGGATGCTGGCACTGGAGGCGGCAGCTTTACCCGCTGGCCCCTGTATGTCATTTTATATAGTCCAGTGATGATCTTAAACCTTGAACTGTGGTGATGAAATCATCATACAGACTTTCTCCCCAGAAAAATGCACTTGGAAATGACGCTTGGTCTGCATTTTTCAGGTAGCCCTGAAGCCCGCCTGCTTCAGCAAGTGAATAACCTATAGCTTAAAGGAAAACTGATAATTGTATTAATTTATCTGTTTTTCTCTATTAGTCTTTATGGCATTAATTAATATTTTCAAACCTTTATAATCTCTTTTATACTGTTGGTGCAACTTTGTTATTAAATCTCACATGACTATAAAATTTTTTTTATTAAGAATTTAGGGCATTCTTTTCTGTCATAAAAACAATAACTTGGGGGTGGACCTGTGGTGAAGCAGTTAAGCCACTGCTTGGGACACTTGCTTCACACTTGGATTCTGGGCATTGAGTGGTCGCTGTGCTTCCGATCCAGCTTGCTGCTATTGTACACCCGTGAGGGAGCAGGTGATGGCTCAAGTGGTTGGGTCTTTGTGCCTATGTGGGAGACCTGTGGTGCTTGGTCTCCTGGCTTCGTCCTGGTCCAGCTTCTGTTGTGGGCATTTGAGGAGTGCACCAGTAGACAGAAGATTTCTCTTTGTCTGTCTGTCTCTCTCTCTCTCTCTTCCCCCTGCTTTGCCTTTCAAATAAATGAAAAACAATTTTTTATTGATTTGTTCAACAGAGTTACAGAGAAAGGGAGATACAGAGAAATTCTATCTGCTGGTTCACTCCCTAAATGACCACAACGACCAGAGCTGGGCCAGTCTGAAGCCTGGAGCCAAGGGCTTCTTCGAGTCTCCCGTTGTGGGTGCAGGGGCCCAAGCACTTGGGTCATCTTCCACTGCTTTCCCAGGCCATAGCAGAGAGCTGATCAGAAGTGGAGCAGAGGCTAATGCTATGGCAAAGTAAGTTAAAGCCTCTGCATGTGGTGCCAGCATCCCATATGGGCACTGGTTCGAGTCCTGGCTGCTCCACTTCCAATCCAGCTCTCTACTATGGCCTGGGAAAGCAGTGGAAGATGGCCCAAGTCCTTAAGCCCCTGCACCCACATGCAAGATCCAGAAGAAGCTCCTGGCTCCTGGCTTTGGACCAGCCCAGCTGTGGCCATTTGGGTAGTGAACCAGCAGATAGAAGACCCTTCTCTCTGTCTCCCCATTCTCTGTCTGTAACTCTCTGTAGCTTTCACAATAAATAAATAATTTTTCTTGTAAAAAAGCCTCACATTATTAAAGAAACAAAAATAAGTGGAGCAGCTGGGACTCAGACCAGCACCCATATGGGATGCTGACGTTGCAGGCAGAGGCTTAACCTACCATGCTATGGCACCAGCCCCATAAATAAAAATTTTTAAAAATATGACAGCGGCCGGCGCTGCGGCTCACTAGGCTAATCCTTATCCTTTGCCTTGCGGCGCTGGCACACCGGGTTCTAGTCCCGGTCGGGGCGCCGGATTCTGTCCCGGTTGCCCCTCTTCCAGGCCAGCTCTCTGCTGTGGCCAGGGAGTGCAGTGGAGGATGGCCCAAGTGCTTGGGCCCTGCACCCCATGGGAGACCAGGAGAAGTACCTGGCTCCTGCCATCGGGTCAATGCGGTGCGCCGGCCGCAGCGCGCTGGCCACAGCGGCCATTGGAGGGTGAACTAACGGCAAAGGAAGACCTTTCTCTCTGTCTCTCTCTCTCACTGTCCACTCTGCCTGTCAAAAAATAAAAAATAAAAATATGACAGCATGCACAATACAGTTGTGTTGTGACAACAGCACTGCTAATATCAATTGTTTTAAAAAATAACAATTCTGGGTGGTTTTCTTGTGCAGCAGAACTTTCTAGCGTGGAAGTAGTCTCATCTCTAGCAGGGCAATAAGGAATTCTGTAGATAGTGAGTAGTTGGAGAATTTGCTATACTGATTTGCTGGAGAACGTGTTTGATTCATTTTGAAGGGAGAGTTTTAATTTTTAAATTGTTTACCTGGACCAGACAGAGCAAAACAAGGGAAGGAAATCTGTCCAAGAAGAAATCTCTGTCCCTTTCGAATCATGCTGCATGTTCGATGTTTTGCTTTCCTGTTTTTGGGTAGCGATAGGTATGGAGAAACAAAGCATGATGACAGATTGTAGTGGACTTGTGACAGTCTGTCAGAGGTGCAGAAGGGTAGTGGAGGGACTGGTGCTCTGACAGGCACATCACCTTGCTCAGCAAAGCAGGGAGAGGGGCAGCTGCCACCGAGCTTCAGGCGCTTGTCGAGGAGGGCTGCTACAACCACTGCTGGCTTATCTTATGTTTCAAGAAAAGCTGAAATCTGGATTTTTAGGTTAAGGATTGTACTTTTTAAAAAGTCATCAAATTTGTTTTAAAAAATAGTGTGACTGGTAGGTGAATTTAAAGAAGATATAAATACGTGGAGACACAGAAGTCTGTGTTGAGTGGATTCTGAACAAAGTAGAGACAGCTTCTCCCACATCAGCGGGCAGCTTTAACACAGTTTATCTCCGAATTCCACAAAACCTTCTGTAGTATAGATACAGGTAAAATTATTCTAAAACTTGTATGAAAAGGCACAAATCAGCATAGAGAAAATTGTTTTGAAAAGTAGGAATGAAGTGGGAAGAATTCCTCCACTGATTTTCAGGACTGACTGTATAGCTGCCCTAGTCAAGACTGTGTGGTGTTGGCAGAGAAATTGACACACAGATCTCTGGAATGGAGCACTGAACTCAGAAATAGCCAGATGCACAGGTGGCCGCTGATTTTTCACAGAGGTGTCCAAGTAACTCAGTGGAAGAAGAGCCTCAATAATGGAGCTGCAGCAGTGGGATAGCTCTAGGCAGAAAAATGAGCTGAGGCTTTACCTTGTCCCATTTTAATGAACTCAAAGTAGATAATGGGCATAAATAGGGAATGTAAGGCTTAGAGAAAAGGGCACAGAAAATCTCTGGGAGCTACAGTTCAGAATCATTCATGAACATAAAGAGTTCTTAGACCCATTTTAAAAACATTGATCAAATGGACTCCATAAAATTAAAAACTTGCACTATGGGAAAGACCCTGTTAGGATGAGAAGCCACACTGCCCATTAGGGGAAAGTGTTTGTGTCCTGCTTGTTTGACAGGAACTCATACGCAGCGTTTATAAACTCCTAGCCACACGTGCTTAGGTGGTAGAGAGCAAGCCATCTGATCATGAAGTGAACAAAGACCACACAAGGAGACATTACATCCCAGAGGGTATACAGGTGGCAGTAAACATGCTAAAGGCTGGTAAACATCACTAGCATCAGGGAAATGCAATTTTGATGTTGATAATACATCTTCATTATGCATCTGTTGGCACAACTAAAATAAAAAGTAGTGACAGCTCCAAATTCTGGTAAGGATATAGAGAAACTGGATCTCTCAGACGTCACTGATGGGGATGTAAAATGGCGCAGCCACTCTGGAAAACATTGTGGCAGTTTATTATAAAGTAAACCTCTGCTTAGTATATGACTCAGCAAGTGCACACTGGGCCATTTATCCCAGAGGATTCAAGTCTTACTTCCACACAGAAACCTGTGCACTGTTGTTCATGACAGCTTTATTTATGGCAAGACAATAAAAGGGAAACAACCAAACTGTCCTACAGTAGGTGAATGACTAAATAGTGTCATAACTGCACCAGTAATACCACACAGCAGTAGAAAGAGACTGTTGACACATACGCAGCCTGGATGGATTTCAAGGGCATTATGCTGAGTGCAAAAAACCCCGGTATCAATAGGTTACACAGCACACGAGTCCATTGATACTCTAGAAATGACCCAGTTGTAGAGATGGGAATTGGAGAAACGGTTGCCGTGGGTGAGGGCTGCTGGAGGTGGAGGGCTGGCTGGTGAGAGACCTCTGAGAATGGAGTATTTCTGTGATTGTGAGGCCACCACAGAAACGTAAACGTGTGATGAGTGACAAAGTTGACATATTGAGCGCTCGCGAGCCCCGCTTCCGCGGCGGGCGGCATGGCGGCGGAGCGGCGCGAGCTGTGAGCCGCGGGGTCCCGGGGGCGCCATGGTTTTCCTCACGGCGCAGCTGTGGCTGCGGAACCGGCTCACCGACCGCTACTGGCGGGTGCAGGAGGTGCTGAAGCACGCCCGGCACTTCCGGGGTAGGAAGAACCGCTGCTACCGGCTGGCCGTCCGGGCCGTGACCAGGGCCTTCGTGAAATGCACGCAGGCCCGCAGGCTGAAGAAGAGGACCATGCGGACCCTCTGGATTAACCGAATTACAGCTGCCTCCCAGGAACACGGCCTGAAGTACCCAGCATTCGTTTCCAATTTAATTAAGTGCCAGGTGGAGCTCAACAGGAAGGTGCTTGCAGACCTGGCCATCCACGAACCCAAGACTTTTAAGTCCCTGGCGGCCTTGGCAGAGAGGAGGTGACAAGAAGGACTCGCTGCGGCCCTGGGGGACGGCCAGGAGCCGGAAGGCGTGTTTTCCCGAGTGGCGCGGGACCACTGACCTGGTAGCGCTGGGAGGCCGCTCTGCCTGCTGGTGCTGACCCAAGCACAGGAGGGAGAGAGTTCATCAGCAGTGTGCAAGTGTCGCCTGTAACTGTTCCCAGAACCACCTTCCACTGACTGCAAATAAAGCCCACCTGGTGTCCAAAAAAAAAAAAGTTGACATATTGGACCCACGTCACTTTCTGATTTCACTGTAGTCCTGTAGGGGTTTAAGATACAAGCACTGGAGGATGGCAGAGAAAGGGGTCACTGACCTCTTGCTAATGTCTTCATGACTTTCTGTGAGTGTGATCATTTTACTGTACATAGAAAAAGGAGATAATGTTGGCCAAACAGTGCATTTGTCAGAACAGAATTCAGCTTTCTGACCCATATATTTGTAACCTTTGATGAAGTTTGAAAAGTCATGCTTAGACCTTTGAATGTTAGCTGGCCCAGTAATGTTCTTAAAAGTGGGTTATCTAGAGAGTAGGTGTCTTGTATAACATAACACTGTATATTATTCTTTCAGAAAAAAGGAAACACAAGTAGTATTTCTAATAAATACTTTAAAGAGAAAGTAAAAACAAACTTTAAGACACTGTATTCAGCAGTCTATTAAAAGTATAAAGAGGGGTGGGTGTTTAGCCTGGTGGTTAAGACTCTGGTTTGACACCCATGTCCTGTACCAGACATACCAGACTACCATGGTTTGATACCTGGCTCTGATTCCCAAACTCCAGCTTCCTGCTGGTGTGGACCTTGGGAGGGGAACAAGCCATGTAAGAGACCTGGATTGAGTTCCTGGCTCACAGCTTTGGATCAGCCCAGTCTCTGCTGTTGTGGGCACTTGAAGGAGTAAACTAGCAGAGGGGAGCTCGCTCTCGCTTGCCCTTGCTCTCAAACTCTGTCTTTCTCTCCCCCTCTCTCCCTCTCAATTTGAAAGTGTGAAGAATACATCATGGTCAGATAAAGTCTACTTTTAGAATACAAGGATGGTTCAATACCAGTTGATAGAATTCATCATGTGTGGTATATTGTGGTATTATTTCTTGCATTTGCTGTAGTAGAATTGTACTTTTTGGCTGGTGCCGTGGCTCAATAGGCTAATCCTCTGCCTTGCGGCGCCGGCACACCGGGTTCTAGTCCCGGTCGGGGCGCCGGATTCTGTCCCGGTTGCCCCTCTTCCAGGCCAGCTCTCTGCTGTGGCCCGGGAGTGCAGTGGAGGATGGCCCTAGTGCTTGGGCCCTGCACCCCATGGGAGACCAGGAGAAGCACCTGGCTCCTGCCTTCGGATCAGCGTGGTGCGCCGGCCGCGGTGGCCATTGGAGGGTGAACCAACAGCAAAGGAAGACCTTTCTCTCTGTCTCTCTCTCTCACTGTCCACTCTGCCTATCAAAAAAAAAAAAAAAAAAAAAAGAATTGTACTTTTTATTACCATGATAGGCTTGCCTTGTGACTTGCTGTTAATGAAATGTGCGTCGATGTGGTATGTTCTAACTCTGAATGGTTTAACCTTTCATTTGTGCTGTGATTGATTTATCTTACACTTAGGTAAAGCGATAATAATTAAAAAAGATTGATATAGAAATCTTTGCCACAAAAGAAAGTAAGATGAGTAGGTTGATTAGTTGAAGCTAATGACCTTTAGTTTAAAGATGACACACATAGGAGAAGGAGATGGTATATCCAAAACTGAGGGCTGGAGTACATTTAATTGTGCAGTGTGATGTTGGGTAAATATTTTCTAAGTGCATATCTGGAGGCTGCAATAAAAGATCCCCTCCATAGCAAACCCAGGGTCACTGAGCTAAGAGAACAGGCAGTTTTTGTTGTTCTAGTTTTAGAAATCAGGTATTCCAGGTGCTCTAGGAATACCTGGTGAGTTGTCAGCTTGATTTTCTGACTTTCACTCGTTGGAGATTAAGCCAGTAATATTCTAAAATTCTTGTGTTTCTTCTTTGTGTGTGGGTGCTTTTGAATGTCTAGCTTCAGAATGCCTTGGATAAATAAACCTAATAAACCTAGAGGACTTTGGCTTGTATAGCATTGACTTTTTTTTTTTTTTTTTTTTTTTGTGCAGTCTAGCCAAAGTTTAGAAGGTGTGGCCACCTGGGGTTGGGAGTAGGGGAACAGAAGGTGCTCTGTAAACAGGTAGACAAACTGGAGAGCAGACCTGGTGGTTGCCCAGTGGCTCTGTTCTTGTCCTATGTGGAATTCTGATAATTTTTTTAAATAAGACATCCCAAGAGTAATACAGGAAAGTACAGAATTCCTCCTAGAGACGATGATGCCCTCTATTCCTACTGCTTTGTAATAGATGGGGCAGCAAAGGCAGTTATGGAGGAAAGAGTTGGAAAGGTTAGAAAAGAGAAGAAACATTTATCAGTGTTGGCAGGTGATTAGACTTTATACTGGGGTTTAACTGAGAATTAACAAAACCAATAGCGTTCAAAATGGTAATGGGGAGTGAAAAATATGTAGAAATAAATAACATGATAACTGTATATATGTGTACGTAACACATGTATTTGCTGAACAGGAAGAAACTGTGAAATGTTGAAGGATTAAATCTAAAAATATGCCTTGCTGAATTTTCCAGGAAAACTGGTGTTCTTGCTGCCCGTAACGATTGTTTATAATTTGTGGCTAATAGTCTGAGGTTGGTTGTTTCTGTAAATCTTTGTCAGTATTTTAGATTTTTTTCTATTTTCTTTTTTTTTTTTAATTAATTTATTTATTTGAAAGTCAGAGTTACACAGAGAGAGGAGAGGCAGAGAGAGAGGGAGGGAGAGAGGTCTTCCATCCACTGCTTCACTCCCTAGTTGGTCGCAATGGCCGGAAACGCACCAATCCAGGAGTCAAGAGCTTCTTCCGGGTCTCCCATGTGGATGCAGGGTCCCAAGGACTTGGGCCATCTTCTACTGCTTTCCCAGGCCACAGCAGAGAGCTGTGAAGAGGAGCAGCTGGGACTAGAACCGGTGCCCATATGGGATGCCAGTGCTTCAGGCCAGGGCGTTAACCTGCTGCGCCACAGCGCCGGCCCCTCTTATTTTCTTAAACTGTATTGTAAGGAGAGGTGGGTTTGGCCTGTTGGCTAAAGTGCTGGTTATGCTGCTGGAATCCCACATTGGAGTACCTAGGTTCAATTTCCCACTAGCTCCTGCTAGCTTCCTACTGATGTGAACCCTGGGAGGCAGGGGTGGTAACTCAGCCACTCAAGTTGTAAGATCCTGTGCAGCAGATGGGAGCATGCTCTCTCTCACTTTTTCTCTCAAATAAATAGGTATACACTCTGAGGAATGGCATTTTCAGGTCAGAGTGGAAGAAAGACCTAAATTTGTTGATGCTGTTGCCAAATTAAATTCCATTATCAGCATATGAGAGTAACAGTACATTTCCTTTTGTCTACACAATGCTTTGTTTCAACTAATATTTATTGTATTAGAAAGTGCTACATTAGAAATACATTCTCCATAATTTGTGTTTTAAGATATACATAGATTTCGTTGTTTCTGTGTTTGACAGTTGTAGGGTGTCTAGGTGGATGCTCAGAGGAGCGTCTGTGAGACTTCTGGAGTTTCTGGGTTAGACCTGAATCCGTGTTCTGGTTCTGAGAGTGGTGTTCTTTCTACTTTGGAGAATTAGGCTTTTTTTTTTTTTTTTTTTTTTTTTTTTTTTTGACAGAGGGAGAGTGAAAAGAAAAGAAAAGAGAGGACTCCTTTTTTGCCGTTGGTTCACGCTCCAATGGCCGCTCGGCCGGTGTGCTGCGGCCGGTGCACCGCGCTGATCCGATGGCAGGAGCCAGGTACTTCTCCTGGTCTCCCATGGGGTGCAGGGCCCAAGCACTTGGGCCATCCTCCACTGCACTCCCTGGCTACAGCAGAGAGCTGGCCTGGAAGAGGGGCAACCGGGACAGAATCCGGCGCCCCGACCGGAACTAGAACCCGGTGTGCCGGCGCCGGTAGGTGGAGGATTAGCCCAGTGAGCCGCGACGCCGGCCGAGAATTAGGCTTTACAGTAGTTTTGGTTGTCGATTGACACCAAAAACCAAGAATGAACCTTAAGTACCACAAAAATATTGAATGGATGCCACCAAGCGTTCTGTTAAAAACAATGGGGAGTAAACCCCTCAGAAATAATCCCTCTAGAAGACTTTATAATGGAGTCTAGACTAGTTTTCAGTTAGATTGCAACAATACAGCATAGTGGTCCTCTGTTTTCTTAGCACAATTACTTAAATTGTTAAATTCTGTTTTAGAATAACTCTTCAATGCAGAGCATAAGCCATCACTCACAGAAGTATTTCTTGCAGAGGAGATTGTTTCGAAAGATGGTTCCCATTTCTCTGCTTTGAGCTGTTTGCTCCTTGAGCTAGAGGAGCTGTGGGTTTCTGTAGGAGAGTCCTGTTGGGGGGTGGGGCAGGTGGGAGTCGCTGGAGAGCTGTGTGCACACTGGCTGCAGGGTCTGGGACCAGGATGAATGCTTGGTAGTATTTTGGAAGCTTCCTTGGTGATTGGTTAGTCTGTTGTGTTTGTGATTCTATATTTTAAGACACAGCAGTAAATAATTGTTCTTTGATACCCAGCTCAACAGGGTGGAAAAATGTGGCTTTATGTATCCATTGATATCTAAGTTTATCAGCTAAACTTTAAAAGTAGGAAACTAGGGGGAATTTGTTTCCTTTTAATGACCCAGTGAAGGAAGAGAACCATACTGGTTTCTCACTAAGCACCCAGATCTGTGTGATCTGTGTCTGCGTGCTGTCCCTTTATCTTCGAGTGTAATTTACACTCCACTCCTATAGACTCTGGTTCAAGGAAAGCACTATCAGTGCCTGTCTCTGGGCTCGGAGCTTTCCAGTCCCTGCTCTTGGAATGTGGAGGAGATGAAAGAAAACAGACTTGAGAATATGCAAACATGAACTTAGACCTTCCCCCAGAAGAACAGCCCCCAGAACTCCCCAGCTCCTAAATCTCACTTTAAAATGTGTTTGATGCGTTATCTGAGTTTCAGGTCATCTTAGGGAGCACAGACTTTAGAAGCTGTTACAGGTAGAAAGAGACTGAGTGCCTGCTTGGAAGCCACATCCTGGTCTTTTGTTCCTACTGGAATGATTTCATGTTTCTTTTATGTGTAATGTGCTGTCTTCATAGGTTAATAGGGTATGAATTAGAGGGCAAAGATGTATGAGACTAGTCCTAAAAGGGGAATTCAAGTTATGACTAAGAAAGATGAATGTCGTAGAATACTGTCATTACTGTCTCATCTTTATAGTCCTCAAATTTATTCTATCAAAATTTTATAATAGCCTGTTGATTTTCACTCCACTGATTATATTTGTTTCAACTCTCTCTTCCTCCCTCCCTCCCTCTCTAACTCACACACAGACACACACACACACACACACACACACACACATACGCATACTGAAGTTTTTTCCTCTTTGTTTCAAGAAGTTCTGGAAGGAATCAAGAAAAACCAACATCTTGGGGTAGGGTACATGTGGTGTTGGGGTGGCACATGGGAGGTAGGGTTTCAGGAGAACTGTTGATCATATACTTTTTAGTATTACCAAAAAATTAACCCATAATAATGTCACTTATTATTTTTTTTCCTTTCTTTTTTTTTTATCTTTTATTTAATGAATATAAATTTCCAAAGTACGACTCATGGGTTACAATGGCTTTCCCCCCCATACCGTCCCTCCCACCCACAACCCTCCCCTTTCCCACTCCCTCTCCCCTTCCATTCACATCAAGATTCATTTTCGATTATCTTAATATACAGAAGATCAGCTTAGTATACCTTGAGTAAGGATTTCAACAGTTTGTTCCCACACAGAAACATAAAGTGAAAAATAATAAATGATTTTTTTTTAAATGATGATGAAATCAGATCAGACCTATTGTCATGTTTAATCCCAGTGAGAGTCAAGTTGGGAGTTGATAATTTCTTTTTTTTTTTTTTTTTTAACAGAAGATCAGTTTAGTGTACATTAAGTAAAGATTTCAATCGTTTGCACCCCCATAGAAACACAAAGTGAAATATACTGTTTGAGTACTCGTTATAGCATTAAGCCTCAGTGTACAGCACATTAAGGACAGCGATCCTACATGAGGAGTAAGTGCACAGTGACTCCTGTTGTTGAATGTCACTTATTATTAAAACATAAAAATAAGGGGATCCATATCCATGATTGTTCTCAGTAAAATGTGTTCACTATAGAGCAAGCAGAACATAGAAGAACACGCAAAGATGAAGAACAGTCACAAGCAATCTGTCACCTAGAGAGACAGTTACTGGTTCGTTATAGATCATCTCAGTCTGAAAGAAAATGCATACTTTCATATATAAATTTGTATGGTTTGATGAAACAATCTATAATATTTATAACGTGCCTTTTAAAATCTTATAATAGCCCTGTGTTGTGAGTAATCTTCCAGATCCATAACTGTTTGCTCAACTACCTTGCTGTTTGGTGCTCTGCCATATTAAAGTGCTTTGTTGTGACCAGTTCGCGGTTGGATGTACGAAGCCGTCTTCACTCTGACATCCTCCTCTATGGGCAAGGCTGCATGCAGCCGTAGTGGTTTCCAGTGCAGCATGGCAGGGCCAGAGCCACACAGTTCTTTGGAGGCATTAGCAGCGTCTGGTCAGGTGGGCTCCGCGCAGAGCCGTGCTCATTTACACCCTTTAGGGTGACTGAGGGTCTCACACAGGGCAGCAGCTACAGGCTTCTTGTCTTACTGCAGTGAAAGAAACAAACCCTGAAGATAGGCTCATGGGTCTGGGGAGGAGGCAGTCTGAGCTGGAAAACTGCCTTTACCTTGTACCCTGCCTGGGGTTGGCATCAGGCTAGAGTAGGCTGGGAGCTTGGGACGTTGGGTTGCTGGGCTGGGCAGGGATGGGGGGACTGTTTGCTGTCTTAGGCTAAGAGTGTTTTCTACTGATGAACTGAATTGTGTTCTGCCTCCCCACAGGGCTAGTGTTTTATTGAGGGTGGGTGTTTAAAATTGAACATTTGCTTAGCTGAAATATGCTTAAAAATGGATGTCCTGCTGATTGTGTTAGGAGATGAGATGGTTAAGTAACCTATGTACTTGGAATTGGGAGACAACATTGCAGAGTTCAGTTGCCTTTTGAAATGTTGACTGGCGCCTCACCTCAGTGCAGAAAGGCCTGCTGCTGACGGGCCAGCACTTCTGTGCATGTCACTTGGGAACCTCAGGACAGAGTGGAGAGGAAGGGCTGGGGAGCAATTGGCAAGAAAAGCAAACAGTTACTAGTCTATGCACAATGCAGCCTTGTTTACCCTCTCTTTGCTATCTGGATTTCTGAAACTGGATTCCTTGGCTCTGTGAACTAGTTAGCACAAGAGCACTCCTTTCGTTGAGGGTGCTTGGAGTTGAAAGCATGCTGGAGAGAACACATGGCCGCATCCTGTCCCTGTTAGGCCTTGGTGGTGTAAAGGGATTAATGAGAAGTGAGCTGGAACCGTTTATCAGTGGAAAGATCTGGAGTTGTTTTTTAGGTCTGTGTCATGGGCATTTCACAGTGGAGAGGTTACATAAATCAAAAGGCTCTTGGTCTTGAGAGCAGAGGTCTGCTGGTCACAATGTTAACATTTGTTTGTAGTGCAAAGGAGCAGAGACTGCCTGGTTCACTAGTAGAGGCCTTGCTTATAGGAAAGAATTTTACCCAGACTCTTCGAAAGTGACTATTTCTGAGTTGTGTCTGTTCTGTAAAATTTAGATGACATTGTTATTTCATAACAATTTTTCTTAGAGATCTGGTAATCTTACATTGTTATTCTAAGAATGAATGAGGCACTAGAATATGAGGATTCTTCTCATTAATTTAATAGGTTTGAAAGAGTAATTGACTTGGGAACATTGGGGAAACCAAGTACAGAATTCAAACCGTGAGCTTTGTTACTGAGAGAGCAGAGAAAATGTTTTAAGAAGTCATCGATCAGTTTTAGGTTTTTCTCATTCACATGTGTCTGAAACCTGCTTGGATAATGGGTGTGTCTGTGTTTGTGTGTGTATCTCTCTCTCTCTCACACATTCACACACTTACTTTGGCTTTTCTTTATGAAATATTTCTTTGTGATTTTCAATAAAAATATGATGAAAATAACTTTTAGTAATTGAAATGTTAAAGTTCTATCATTGGCAACCACTGAATGTTTTGTTTTATTTTCAGCATTGGTTGGATGGTACAAAAAGCATCAAAAAGCAAGTCAAAAGTAAGTACTGCAAAAATTGCTTGCAAAAAAATGGAAATCAAATATATTAGAAACTTGATTCCTGATAGTAAGAACTTAAGAAATCATGTTTCAGATTTTTTTTTCAAGTTATATTTTGATACTGATCTAAATTCCAGGTGCCTTGTGATTTAAGGTTCCCAGGATAAAGGCTTGCACCTTGCAATGGAGTTGGTTTCCTAAGAAGTGCTCCACTTTGATTTAGTACACGTATTAGAAATTTCATGTGTGGCTTTTGTTTGACATCTTAAGACTTTAAGGCTGTGAAATTTTTTAATTAAAAACTATTTTTTTAGCTCTCTCTTTCTCTCCGTCTTCTCCCCCACCCCATGCTCTCCGTCTCCCTCTTTTCCTTCTTCTCCCCCTTACCTCCAGTCTTTCAGGTTTCCCCCAATAAACTCTATCCCTTACTCCAGTGTTTTGGTGTGTTTTGTGGTGGCCTTACAAGACCCATCTCTCTCTTGGTCCCCCCCCCCCCCCCCGCAACTCTGCAACTCTGCCACTCTGCCTTTCAAATAAATAAAGAAATCTTAAAAAAAAAAAAAAAGTAGCAGGTGATTCTTCTCTCAGCAAAGAGGAAGCCTTGCTCGCTGAACAGGATGCCAGGTTATCAGCTAGGAGATGTTCCTGGGATCTGCAGGACTTCAGCTCCCAGGATGAAGGAGACAGCTTTCTGCTATGGCCTGGGAAAGCAGTAGAAGATGGCCCAACTCCTTGGGCCCCTGCACCACGTGGGAGACCCGGAAGAAGCTCCTGGCTTCGGATCACGGCAGCTCCGGCTATTGCAATCAACTGGGGAGTAAACCAATGGATGGAAGACCCCCCCCCCCCCGCCCCACCACCAACTCTGACTTTCATAATATTTTTTTTAAAGATTTATTTATTTATTTGAAAGAGTTACTCAGAGAGGAGAGGCAGAGAGATAGAGATAGGTTTTCTCCGAAAGAGTTACTCAGAGAAAGAGAGAGAGAGAGGTTTTCTATCCGCTAGCTCACTCCCCAGTTGGCCACAATGGCTAGAGTTGTGCCGATCCAAAGCCAGGAGCCAGGAGCTTCCTCTGGGTCTCCCATGTGGATTCAGGGGCCCAAGGATTTGGGCCATCTTCTGCTGCTTTCCCAGGCCATAGAAGAGAGCTGGATTGGAAGTGGAGCAGCCAGGACTTGAACCGGTACTGCAGGTGACGGCTTTACCCGCTACGTTACAGCACAGGCCCCAGTTAAAAGTTATGAACTGAAGCAATTCACATAAAATGTCAGGATTCTTCCCGGTGATATGTAAAGGGGAATACCGAGTCTCTAATGTAATAGCAGCTTCTAATGCCGCTTGTCCTCTAGAGTGGCTGAAAATTCTGGGCAGCTCAGCCCTTGTCTTTACAAAGTAATGGGACAGACCCACGGGGAGGAACATGCACGATGGTGAACTCCCTGTGGTGTGTGGGAGCTGCCGGAAACAGTGACCACAGGCATTCCTCAGCGTGGTCCAGAAGTGAGGATCCACAGTGTTCAGGCTGTGACATCGCACAGTCAGGATTCCTGTTGCGTGCAGCAGGCCCTGGCCGGTGACAGATGATTGTGAGAGGATTACACCATGGGCAGTACATTTTTTAAAAATCTACTGATTGATCTTTTTGTGTCAAGCATAAGCCCTGATCCAACCTGAAACAGTGCCGTGATAACCTGTGATCTATCCCACCGCAGGGGAGTTGTGACAGATTTACTGGCTGAAGATTGTTCCTGTTTCAATAGTTAAATGAAAGTTAAAGCTGCTTTTTTGTTTTTAATGGCAGTTGGGTCACCTTACTGTCTGCATCTTCGAGTTAAGTTTTATTCCTCAGAACCGAATAATCTGCGTGAAGAGCTGACGCGGTAAGACCATGCTCTGTAGAGTGGTGTGGAGGGACTTGGGGTGTGTTAGAATCATTTCCAAGTTGTAGACAGCTGCTGAAATGGACTCCCTGCTGCTGGGACCAGGAACTCACACAACAGTTTCATTCTGGGACAGCAGTGTTGTAAGTGAACGATTCTTGCCCTTTATCAGTGTGAGAATAAAGAGTTGGCGCCCTGGCATTTTCCAGAGGTGACCAGTGAGTTCTTTCCAGAAGTTTCCCTGTCAACTCATGGGCTTTTCACAGCGCTGGGCTGTTTCAGCATCTGTCGGTACTGTGCTTACGGATGCTCTCTGTCATCCGTCTTGGGCCACTGAAGTTTATTCACGTAAGCTCCTCGCTTTCTTTACTCATCAGAATGCCATTGATTAATGGAAAATGTTTGGTCCCGATGTGGTTTGAATACACTTTAGGTTATATGCATTTATGTTCCTGTTATCTGCCTCCTTGATATTTATTCATTGACTCTGTGTCGCAAGTCTGTAGCTCCATGTACACACACTGTTTATTAAGTAGAAGAGCTGAGTTTCCTTTGTTTTGCTTTTCAACACCTTGACCATGAAATTAGAGTTAGTGCCTTTATCTCTTTATGAATGAGGTGGCTGTGTTGTCAGAATAAAGTCAGATTAGATCATGGAGCTCTTTCCCATTGAAGTGCTTTGAACGTTTTCCCTAATGGTTTCTGCATCCTACTTTGAGGCCACTGCTCCTCGCTGTTATCTTGTGGTCATGCTGCCATCTTCTTGATGTTTATTTACTTCATTGTGCATAAAAGTCTGTAAAAACATTTATTCTGGGATTAGCAGGTAAGGTTTTCTTCTTACACTAATATTAGATGGTTCTCTTTAGTTACATTTATGCCTTTTATTTTTCTTAGGTATTTATTTGTTCTTCAGTTAAAACAGGATATTCTCAGTGGAAAGTGAGTATTGGCTATTTAATAAATGCATATTTTCTTATGTGGTTAAAAACAATTTTGAAAATAACTTCATAGCTATGAGAACAGAAATGATCAGCATATAGGATGTATTATTTTCATTTATCTTAAATGGCAGGTCATGAAATTGGCTTAACAACTTTGTGTTTTGGTCTCAGATTGGAATGCCCCTTTGATACAGCAGTGCAGTTGGCAGCATATAACCTGCAAGGTGAGCAGTGATTATGCCAATTCTGAAGCCTAATTTTTTGCCTGCTTTTAGTTACAGAATTTCAGGGGGTTAAGTGATGTGCAATAAAAACAACACTGTTTTTGTGTGGACTTGTGTCAGTGCCCAGTTCTGACTTTTGCTTTGGTTTGGTTCAGAATGCTATGTTTTGGACACATCCACAGTGTTTTCAGGCTACAATTCCATTCTGATAATTCAGTAAATGTTATGAGTAAGCCCTTAGCTCATTTTTCCCTTAAAATGAATGCAGTGATTTCTGGGTGAATTACTGTGGTGGCGACATGGCTTGGTTCATTAGTCCTTTTCTTTTCTCCTTTTCTTTTCTAAGATTTATTTATTTTATTTGAAAGTCAGAGTTACACAGAGAGAAGGAGAGGTAAAGAGAGAGAGGGCTTCCATCTGCTGGGTCACTTCCCAGATGGCCGCAATGGCCAGAGCTGCACCTATCTGAAGCCAGGAGCCAGGAGTTTCTTCCGGGTCTCCCATGTGAGTGCAGGGGACCAAGGACTTCGGCCATCTCCTACTGCTTTCCCAGCCCACAGCAGAGAGCTGGATTGGAAGTGGAGCAGCTGGGACTCAAACCGGTGCCCATATGGGATGCAGGCACTGCAGGCAGCGGCTTTACCCACTATACCACAGCGCCAGCCCCTGGTTTCTTAGTCTTATTCTTAAAAATGAATCCGGGAGGGGATCACAGGAAATACATTGTACGGTTCCTGATGATCATTCTGTAAAGCAGTCTCCAATCAGTGAGGTGAATGGAAAACTCACTATGTATCTTCTTGCATTGATACACCACTGTTAAACTCAGGAATGTTATAGTAAAAATTGACTTTTAAAGGAAAACTATCTCAACTCATGGCTGCAAAATGAAAAAATATTCTGATGGCAGTATCTGTACAATAAAAATGTTTAGTGTTTATCAAGATATTAGTAATTTTACACCTTTTCTGTGATTCTGTATTTCCCTCCAGTCCCTTGAACTTCAGTAATACTTATTTGCCATTGTTAAGAGTAACTTTTTATGTTTTATTGTAGACTTGAGATTTTTGCTTATTTTGTGTGTTCACTAATGAAGAAAACATATTTTCCTGTTAACATGTGGATACTCCAAAAAGTTCGTTTAAAATGGAATTGAAAGACAAGTTTTTAAAAAGTGTTTACTTATTTACTTCTATTTTATTTGAAAAGCAAGAGACAGAGACAGAGGTATCTTCCTTCTGCTGATTCATTCCCCAAATGCCTGCCATAGCTGGGGCCAGGGCCAGGCTGAAGTCAGGAGCCTGGAGCTCAGTCTGGGTCTCCCAGGTACTTGAGTCGTCACTTGCTGCTTCACAGGACTTGGATTAGCAGGAAGCAAGAATAGGAAGCGGAACCAGGACTTAAAGCCAGGTGCTCCTGTGTAGGATGTGGGCAGCCCAAGTGTCATCAAACTGTTACGCCAAAAGTGTGTCCTGATAAGTTGATTTTAGTACAGAAGCATTTTGAAGTCCATACATGGGTGGGGTCTTCAGCAAGTTCAAGGAAAATGCAAATTATGAAAAAACTGCATGGCTGTCATATTTTTTTGCATCAAAGCAAACTTTGCATTCTCCATGAACTTTCTGAAGTACCCTCTTAAGGGATTGATAACTAAAGGAAATTTCTTTTGATAACTAAATTGATAACTAAAGGAAATTTCTTGAGAAATCCGCCACTAATGTAAATTTTTTGGGCCCACCTCCATTTAATATCATAGTCTGTCTCCAGATTAAAACTCATTTTCTCAGCTGCAGAATACAACTACTAACTGAGAATGCTGTGCCTCTAGCACTGTAATGATCAAAAGTGTGTAATCAGATTCTTTTTTGAAAGCACACTTTTTATATTATTTCTTGTATGAGATTATTCTAAGAATTCTTTACTGTAAAGCTGTCTTAAAAATTACTTCTTTATTTGAGAGACGAGAGGTGGATTGAAGCAGAGAGAGCTCCATGTGTTTGTTCACTCCCCAGTGTCCACAGTGACCAGAACTGGGTTGGGCTGAAGCTGGAATCTGGTAACACAATTCAGGTCTTCCAGGTAGGTGGCAGGGGCCCAACCACTTGAGCCATCACTGCTGCTCCCTAGGGCCCGCATTAGCAGGAAGCCAGAGTTGGAAGTCCAGCCAGGCACTAAACCAGGCACTGAAACGTGGGATGGGCAGCTTAACCTTGCTCCCCACGCTCCTATACTGTTGCTAATTTTTTACAAGTTTGATTTATTTTCATTTTATTTGAAAGGCAGAGATACAGATAGAGGGAGATCTTCTGTCAGCTGATGCACTCCTAGATGCTTGTATCAGCAAGGCTGGGCTGGGCCGTGCCAGGCCAGAGCCAGGCGCATTATTAGCAGGAAGCTGGATCAGAAGCATAGGAGCCAGAACTGGAACCAGGCACTGCAGTACAGGATGCAGCTGGCTCTGGTGGTGACTTAACCTCTGCCCTGCATGCCCACCCCAGCGGTTTTTAAGAGCTCTGCCACAGCATGTGCTGCCTCATAACATCTGTTTGTGTCCCATTTTTAAAGTTTCATCACAGCCAAAAGTGCATTCTTCTTGAAAACAGGGTTCCTGTAATTTTTAGTATTTTAACAAAAGTTTAACTTGCCTAGTGCTCAGTAACTTCTTACTCTGATTCATTCATGTGGTTCTGTTCTATTCCTCCTTAACCTCACTTACCACATGATTTTTCTGAATAAAATCTCTGTCCTAATTTCTCTTCAGTCTCGGGCTGTTCCTCTTCATTTTGTTTTCATCTCTGTCCCATGTCTGTGATAGTATACTAAATCCTGCTTATTAAGATTCTTAATAAATTTGCTAAATAATCATTCCAGTCCACATAAAAGAAACTCCCTGTTTTCTCACTTATGATTTTATATTTTACCAGAATAACTTAATTTTTCATACTTTCAAGTTGAATTAAAAATTTAGAGAGAGAGAGAAATATAAAGTGATCTCCCATATGCTGATTTACCCTGCAAATGTCCACAACAGCCAGGACTGGCTGGGCCACAGCCAGGATCTGAGAACCCAGCCAGGTCTTTGATGTGGGTGGCAGGAACCCAGCAGGAACATGGGTCATGGCAGGAAGCTGGAGTCAGTAGTGGAGCTTTGACATGAACTCAGGCGCTCCCAGTATGGGATGCAGGTGTCCCAGGTGGCATCTGATTGGCTGCTCCAAAAGCCTACCCCTCACGGTCACGTCTTAATACATTATGTAGCAGATTTGGTTTGATGCTCCTTAAAGATGTTGTATTACAGACCAAAGAGCAATTTCTTTAGTAATAAAGTTGGCATAAAAATATATATTTTCCAAGGTTATTGTGAAGTTAAATGTTAATGTATGCATGGTTTTCAAAGTTTTTGTACCAAAATAAACATTTTAAAATTCCATGTCTGCAAACTTTTGTTTTAGTTTCTTTTATAAATATTTATTTGCTTATTTGAAAGTCAGAGTTAGAGGCAGAGTCAGAGAGAGAAAGAGAGGTCTTCCATCCGCTGGTTCACTCCTCAAGTGGCCCCAATGGCTGGAGCTGGGCCTATCCAAAGCCAGGAGCCAGGAGCTTCTTCTGGGTCTCCCACGCAGGTGTAGCGATCCAAGGACTTAGGCCATCTTCTGCTGCTTTCCCAGGCCATAGCAGAGAGCTGGATCATAAGAGGAGTAGCCAGGACTTGAACTGGTGCCTATATGGGATGTCAGCAGTGCAGGTGATGGCTTTACCTGCTATGCCACTGTGCTGGCCTGTTCTAACTTTAAAAACTATTTGAGAGCAGAGGGGCAGAGACAAAGGACAGAGAGAGAGAGGGAGAAAGAGAGTGTGTAAGTATTGCCCCCCATCTAGAGAGAGGGAGAAAGAGAGTGTGCAAGTGTTGCCCCCCATCTACTGGTTCACTCCCCAGATGGCCTGCAGTGGTGGGGTTGGGCTGGGCTGAATGGGAAAATCCAGATTTCCCAAGTGGGTGGCAGGAACCCACTTACTGGAGCATTCATTGCTGCCTCTAAGGTCCTGTAGCAGATTGAAGCTAGAATCAGGAACCAGAGCCAGGTGTTTAACCCAGGCTTTCCAATATGGAATGTGGCCATCTTTCTCAGCATCTTGACCAATAGACCAAAGGCCCACCCCCAGCCTTTTGAAGAACTCTCTGTTATGTCTTTATGGATAGATTAAGTACTTAATAGAGTAAGTACTTAATAAATAGAAGAATACTATGTTATGACTTATTGCCTCAAGTGTTATTTCTCTCCCCAACTTTATCAAAATGAAAATAATTTGATTTTCTTAAAAGAGAGTAATACACTCTTTTAAAGGAAATGATGTTTAAGATATTGAAAATTGGTGGTGCTATTTTCTCCAAACCACAGTGAAAGGATGCCTGCAGATGAGCATGCACATGTTTGTGTGCTGTCCAGTTCTTTCCCTGCTGCCTCTTCCTCCCATTTTTTTCAGTAATTTTCAGTTTTTTGGGATTAATAACTTTAAATTTCAGGCATCATGTTGTGAGCAAATTAGATTCTTTATAGAGACTAGCTAACTGTGCTTTAAGAATTGCTGAATTTTTCATTTATTCATTATAAGGTTAATAGATACTTCTCAGTGGATATCTACAAAGTGGTTTTCAAAAGCTACCCACCAAGGTGTGAGTAAATTAAGAGAAGGACATTTAGCTAAATGTACACATGTACTTTATGAGTGTTAACTGACACATTGTAATGGAAGCTGGATTTATTTTTGGGAATCCTGTGTGTTACCAATTCTTAGTTGTGTAAGAATCTTTTTAAGCTGCTTAATGATTTTTACCAATAAATTGTATTTTTACACTTGATCCTAGCCAAAAGTCGAAGAAGCAAAAATAAATTGGATTTTTGAAGTAGTATTCTACAGGGAATAAGTATTAACACAGTGTCGCTTTGTTTGTAGCTGAACTTGGTGACTACGATCTTGCTGAGCATAGCCCCGAACTTGTCTCTGAGTTCAGGTTTGTGCCCATTCAGACTGAAGAGATGGAACTGGCTATTTTTGAGAAATGGAAAGAATACAGGTATTTAGCATTTGTTTTTTAACATTACCACAACGGTTATTTTCATATTCTTTTTCTTTTGTTTCTCTCTCTGTTGGCAGAATTCATTTTATATTTACTATTACTTTTGAAAACTATCATGTTTTACATTTCAGAGGTCAGACACCAGCACAGGCTGAAACCAATTATTTGAATAAAGCCAAGTGGCTGGAGATGTATGGGGTTGACATGCACGTGGTCAAGGTAAGCGCTGTGTGCAGTGCCTTTAAAAACTAACAGATCAGTTCATTGTGGGAAGGAAGAGACACAACCGGAGTCCCACAGGAGTCCTTGTTTTTGAAGGAGAGACCAAAATTGGTTTATTTTTTTGGAAAGCAGAGTTAAATGTTGAAGATGGTACTTAACTGTTGTTTTGCTTCTTTTTTAAAAAATGGGTGTATTTATTTTAAACAGCTTTTGCCCTTTAGACTACTTTGTATTTTCACTTCATGCTGTCTGGAATTCCTTAAGCCGAATGGGATCTTTCACTGATTTCTTTATTAAGATTTTTTTTATTTGGAAAGTAGAATGACAGAGAGAGAGAAAGAGATCTTCTGTCTGCTGATTCACTGCTCAAATGCCTGGGGCTGGGTAGGCCAAAACCAGGAGCTAGAAATTCCACCCAGGTCTCCCACGTGGGTGGCAGGGTCCACGTACTTGAGTCATCTTCCGCTGCTTTCCCAGGTGCGTAAGGAAGAAGCTGGATTGGAAGCAGAGCAGCTGGGACATGGAATAAAGGACTCGAGCCAGCACTCAGATATGGGAGACGTGGGGTGCTGCTGGTGTTGCGGGAGGAGGCTTCACTTGCTTCACCGCAACGCTGGCCCTTGAATAGGCTCTTGGAAAATTAAAATAATTCAGGAGGCAGAGTTGAAAATTTATAGCTCGTGTAGTGATCTGAGTTATTTCTAGTTGAACTACAACGTTTTTCCAGAAAGTTGATCGTTTTCAAAACTTGTGATTTAAGAAAATATGGGGGAGGGCCGGTGCTGTGGCGCAGTGGGTTAAACTGCTGCCGGGGTGCTGGCATCCCACATGGGCACAGGTTTGAGTCCCAGCTGCTCCACTCCCAATCCAGCTCCCTGCTAATGCACTTCAGAAAAGGGCAGAATGGTGGCCCAGGTCCTTCGGCCCCTGTACCCACCTGGGAAGACCCAGATGAAGCTTCTGGCTCCTGGCTTCAGCCTGGCCCAGCCCCGGCCATTGCAGCCATTTGGAGAGTGAACCTGCAGATTCTCTCTCCCTCTTTTTGTCTCTCCCTCTCTCTCTGTTACTCTGCCTTTCAAATAAAATAAATGCATCTTCAAAAAAAAAAAAAATGTTTAAGAGCATGTGGGGAGAGTCTGAAGTGTCTCATTTGTAGTGAGAGGATCAGGCGGTGCCTTGAGCGAAGGCGCTCCCTGAGACACAGTAGTCTTCCCTTATCCGTGGCTCTGCTTCCTGTGCTCTCAGTTACCTGTGGTCATCTGTGGTCCAAAAATATTACACAGAAGATTCCAGAAACCAGGTGTCTCGAGAGGCAGAGACTATATTCACATAGCTTTGATTATAGTGTATTGTTAGAATGACTCCGTTGTGCTGTTGTGCCTGATGCATGGATTCAGCTTGCGGCACTCCACGTGCAGGTGTGAATATATGAAAACACTGTTTACAAGACTCACCTGTAGTTTCAGAAATGCCCTGGGGTCTTGTACTGGGTCCCCTGTGGCTTTTCACTGACTACAAATAAAAATCCATGCATGAATTTTCTTGAAAATGTTTTGGATACACTAATTGTTGAAACATCTTTCCTATTAATATTAGCTTTGTGACTATGTAACTACTATAACTTGGTGTGAAAATTTTCAGTTGTGTTGTGAAAATAAGAAACCTATCTTATGTAAATAAAGCTAACTTGTTTTTCACTCCTTTACTCAGGCTAGAGATGGGAATGACTACAGTTTGGGACTAACCCCCACAGGAGTCCTTGTTTTTGAAGGAGAGACCAAAATTGGTTTATTTTTTTGGTAAGCAGAGTTAAATATTGAAGATGGTACTTAACTGTTGTTTTGCTTCTTTTTTAAAAAATGGGTGTATTTATTTGAAAGACAAAGTTGGATTGGGGGAACGAGAGGGAGAGGGAGAGGGAGAGGTCTTCCATCCAGTTGCTGGTTCATTTTGTAAATGGCTGCTAAGGACCTGGGCTGGGCCAGGCTGAGTCAGGAGTTAGATGATTAAATGTGCTTGAAGTAAAAATTGTTTTTTAATTTAGAGAAAATCTATTTTTAATCTGACTGTTGGTCTCATGTTGTTATAGGCCCAAGATAACCAGATTGGATTTTAAGAAGAATAAGTTAACGTTGGTGGTTGTAGAAGATGATGACCAGGTAGGAATTGTGTTGTGTTACTAATTTAACAGCAGCTATGTCATGTGGTAACTTAAGGGGGAATGTGTCTTGTTGTTTTGGAGAGCCCTGGGACAAAGACTTACTGTATTATACTTCATTAATTAATGAAAAATTAAAAAATAATATTTATTAATTTGAAAGACAGACCGAGAAAGAGACAGGGACAGATAGAGATCTTCTGTCTGCTGGTTCACTCCCCAAATGCCCTCCATAAATGGGGTTGGAGCCAGGACCCCAGAACCCAGTGCCCTCAATAGCTGGAACTGGAGCCAGGAGCCCAGAACCCAATTCTGATTTCCTGCGTGGGTGGCAGGAACCTAGGTAGTTTCTGGAATTGGAAGCAGAGCTGGAACTGGAACCCAGACACTCTGGTAGGGGATGGGGGTGTCTCTTGGGTGTTTTCACTGCTCACCAAGTGACCACCCCTAAGTATAATTTCCTGACTCAGAGCACACCATCCTAAAACAACGATTTTCTGCCATTAAGATTAAAGACAAGGGACCACAATGGCCAGGTCTGGATCAGGCCAAAGCCAGATGCCAGGAACTTCATCCAGGTCTCCCACATGGGTGACAGGGGACCAAGCACCTGGGCCATCTTCTGCTGCCTTCCCAGACAATGTTAGCAGGAAGCTGGATCAGAAGCAGAGTAGCTAGGACTTTGTTGTGGGATGCCAGTGGTAATAGTAATGCATTTTTGCTGTTCCAGTGTAAAGTGTGATAAGCAGTAAGAGAAGTGAGTTATTTTTGCTGAAACTTTACCAGGATTGGATTCTGTTGCTTTAAAAAAAAAAAAAAGGCTTATAATGATGATATCTTACTGTTTTAAGTTGGCTTTTCTAAGAGTTATAGATGTTAACATTTGGTCATGTTCGTTTGTTCTTGCATTTCCTTTGGGTAGTTCATGTTCTTTTCTGTTGGTCTGATAAAGGAGTTATATGAAATATCAGTGTAAATTCCAATATAAATATTAGCAAATAAAAAGCTGAGATCAGTTAAGCATCACTGTGCTTCCAGATAGTAGCTCTCTAATGATTTGCCATGATTATTGTGGATATATGAGGATCTAATTAAGTATAATAATTATATATTATAATATATATATTATATATTATAATGCTGTGTGGCACAGTGGGTTAAGGCCCTGGCCAACATCCCATATGGGCGCTGGTTCTAGTCCTGGTAGCTCTTCTGGTCCAGCTCTCTGCTATGGCCTGGGAAAGCAGAAGATGGCCCAAGTTCTTGGGCCCCTGCACCCGTATGGAAGACCTGGAAGAAGCTCCTGGCTCCTGGCTTTGGATCGGCGCAGCTCCGGCCATTGCGGCCATCCTGGGAAGTGTACCAGTGGATGGAAGACCTCTCTCTCTGTCTCTCAAATAAATAAAATAAATCTTTAAAAAAAAGTGTAATAACTGGGAAAAACTTGACAGATATATGTAAAATATATAATAACTGGAAATTAAGTTAAATATTCCCTTGATACTTGGTATAATTTTTTTCCAAATTTTTGAATATTGATATTAGACTGGTCACTTTTCTCAAGTAAGACCGCTGCTGTTGGTAAGTATTCTTTGAGTTCACATTTAGGTCCGTGTTAGTGAAATAAAAGAAGCAGTAGTTTATCGGAAGCCTGCATGGGTCAGCTTGCTGCTGCCTGACGGGAGGCAGTGCTTTGCACTTGGTCTGTCTGGGCTCTGAAGAGATGCTGCGTGCTCGTGTGCTAGGTGGATTGCAAGGCATGTGACTTGTCGGGATGAGTGAGAAATATTCCTGTTCTTGTAAGAGCTGGGTGTGGTCAGCGGTAAAGGGGGAACGCATAATCCATGTGCCAGGCATAGAGCTCGTGGTCACAAGACGAAGACACAGCCGCACATTAGCACACCGTGTGGCCAGGAAAACTCAGGAGAAGAAAATGGGTGTAGTGAGTGAATGTTTTGTACAGTAGTATTTTACGTACTTTGCTTAGAGAAAAGTTTGCAGAGCTTTCAAACTGCTGATTGCTATCGCAGAGTGATTGCCACTTTGCATGATTTTCATTCTTGTTTTATGTTTTCCTAAATATTTATTTCTTACAAAGTAAAGGGCAGGGATTAGGAGATAAGAGGGCCGTCGGTACTGATCGTTAGGTTCCGTTTGAGATACCTAGTTTGCTTAGATATCTAGAATTTTCAGAATTCTTTGTGTCTCTGGGCGAGGGTCTGAGCTTTTTCTAGTGGAAGCTCCCTCGTTGCTTTCCTCCCAGTGTGCTGCAGAGGGACATGTAGAGAAGACTTTTTTTTCACCATAATAAAGTTATTTTATTTTTTTTCCTTTTTTTATTTAATAAATATAAATTTCCAAAGTACAGTTTATGGATTACGTTGGCTTCCCCCCCCATAATCTCCCTCCCACTCGCACCCCTCCCATCTCCCGCTCCCTCTCCCATTCACATCAAGATTCATTTTCAATTATCTTTATATACAGAAGATCGATTCAGTATATATTAAGATTTCAACAGTTTGCACCCACACAGAAACACAAAGTGTAAAATACTGTTTCAGTACTAGTTATAGCATTACTTCACATTGGACAACACATTAAGGACAGATCCCACATGAGAAGTAAGTATACAGTGACTCCTGTTGTTGACTTAACAATTTGACACTCTTGTTTATTGAGTCAGTAATCTCCCTAGGCTCTAGTCATGAGTTGCCAAGGCTATGGAAGCCTTTTGAGTTCGCCGACTTCGATTTTATTCCGACAGGGTCATAGTCAAAGTGGAAGTTCTCTCCTCCCTTCAGAGAAAGGTACCTCCTTCTTTGACCTGTTCTTTCCACTGGGATCTCACTCACAGATGGTGGAGTTAGAAACGTGCCAGGGGATTCCAATACAATCCCATCAAGGTTGCATGTACCAATGCCATCTCACTAGTCCAAGTGATCAATTTCAGTTCATAATTGATCACACTGATAGGTGTAAGAGTCAAAGGGATCACACAAACAAGACTAATGTCTGCTAATACTAACTGATAGAATCAAAAAGGGAAGAAAACGATCCATCATGGGAAGTGGGATACACAGCAAACTCATAGAATGGCAGATGTCCTAAATAGCGCTCTGGCCTCAGAATCAGCCCTTAAGGCATTCAGATCTGACTGAAGAGCCCATGAGAGTATTTTAGGCATGGAAAGCCAAGACACTCTGGGGGGAAAAAAAAAAAAAGAACAAAATGAGAAGACTTTTTGATCTCTGTCCTTGTGGAGATCATTGACATTGAGTGTTGATGTCAAAAGCCAAGACTATTTTTGATGTGTAATTTGAGCTCTCCTCATTTCAGACTTTGAAAAATGCCTGTCGTGGGTTAGCATGTAAGAGTGTCAGCTGTGTATGTTTTTATATAAAAGCCTAAAATCAGCTGTACTGAATCAACTAATATTTCTGCATAGGTTTTAATAACCTTACATTCACATTTTTTAATAGATCTAGTAACAGAAAACACAAAAAGTCATACTGGAGAAAAAATATTCCTTCTCTCCCAGCCACACTTCTTATTTCCTTTTCTGCAAGTTACCAGCATCATGTTTTGAACAATTCGAAGCCCTATATATTTGTAACTGAGAAAGTTGGGATCTGTTGGACATAGGTGGTGCCCTAAAATCATTGTTAACCAAGCAGCTGTTGTGACATACTCCTCATTGCCTGCCTGTGTGGGAAGTTGCCTTAGCAAGTTCTGCTGGGTTGCAGTCATTGTTAGTGCTGCAGGTGCTCCGTTCCGAATAGAATGGCTTCAGAAAGGTGGCACAATGATTCAGCACTGGAGTGAGCAGCTGCTCTGAGTGCTGAGTGTGGCCTGTGAATTTGTCATATGTTATTGGAGAATCACCTAAAATTTCTATTTCCTTTGCCAGTTAGGTATTTGATCTCCTTTACTCCACCCTCCACCCTATTTAGTCAAAAAAGAGTACAGTAAACCATCATCAAGATGTGTTCATGCTGACGGGCAAGAAACACTATTTAGCAGAACTTGAGAAAGAAGATTTTGGAAAGTAGGGGAAACAGTGATAAGCTTTGGAAGTTTGGAGTTACTACTAAGACACATGCTAAGAATTGCCCTGTTAGATTGCTTAGAAGGAAATCACAGAGACAGTCATGGGTATTTTAAGGAGAAATCCCTTGCAAGCACAGGATGATCATTGTATCATCAGCAAATGGGTTGAAAATGACTCAGAGTTGGAATGTGAAAATATTCAAAATGACAAGAATGAGATTATTTTACTAATATTTTCCTTTTTTATATAATCCTAGGTATCATTAAATGTATATAAATCTAAATGTGATCTTTCAAAAACAAAATGCTTGTAGGATAAAATAATGGGGGACTGGTGCTGTGGCGCAGGTTAATCCTCCACCTTTGTGCCAGCATCCCATATGGGCACCAGTTCTAGTCCCAGCTGCTCCTCTTCCAATCCAGCTCTCTGCTATGGCCTGGGAGACCAGTAGAAGATGGGCCAAGCACTTGGGTCCCTACACCCACATGGGAGACCGGGAAGAAGCTCCTGGCATCAAATCAGCTCAGCTCTGGCTGTTGTGGCCATTTGGGGAGTGAACCACTGCATGGTGGTTCTGTCTCTCCCTCTCACTGTCTGTAACTCTACCTCTTAAATAAATAAAATAAAATCTTAAAAAAAAGTCATAATCTCATTGTGACATTTGTCCTTATTGGGGCATAAGCTAATAGTATCTCATAATTGATGGTATTGTAGATTTGATCAAATATAGTATTTGCTTTCTGGATCTTTTCTGTGGTATTTTACACATATAAGCAAGAATATATAGTTTTTTTTTTTAATTAATTTATTTATTTATTTTTTTTTTTGACAGAGTGGACAGTGAGAGAGACAGAGAAAGGTCTTCCTTTTGCCGTTGGTTCACCCTCCAATGGCCGCTGCGGCCGGCGCGCTGTGGCCGGCGCACTGCGCTGATCCAATGGCAGGAGCCAGGTGCTTTTCCTGGTCTCCCATGGGGTGCAGGGCCCAAGCACCTGGGCCATCCTCCACTGCACTCCCTGGCCACAGCAGAGAGCTGGCCTGGAAGAGGGGCAACCGGGACAGAATCCGGCGCCCCAACCGGGACTAGAACCCGGTGTGCCGGCGCCGCTAGGCGGAGGATTAGCCTAGTGAGCCGCGGCGCCGGCCTTAAAATTTATTTATTTTAAAGAGTTACAGAGGCAGAGAGAGAGAGAGGGGGAGGGAGGGAGAGAATGAGGGAAGGAGGGAGGGAGGTCGGGAGGTCTTCCATCCACTGGTTCACTCGCAAGATGGCCACATCGGCTGGACCCATGTGGTTGCAATGGCTAGAGCTGGGCCAATCTGAAGCCAGGAGCCAGGAGCTTCTTCCAGGTCTCCCATGTGAGTGAAGGGGCCCGAGGACTTGGGCCATTCTGTGCTGCTTTCCCAGGGCGTAGCAGAGAGCTGGATCTGAAGAGGGGCAGCTTGGACACAAACTGGCACCCGTATGGCACTGCAGGAGGTGGCTTTCCCTGCTATGCCACAGTGCCGGCCTCATATTGATTCTTTTACTCAGAGATTAGCATCCCTGTTGTCTACTTCACTTCTCTAACTTTATAGTATGGGATCTTTTCCGTATTGTACATAAAGTGCTTGATAACAAAGAACTAAAGCAACATAGCATTGTAGTATATTGAAGTGCCCTCATTTATTGAATCAGTTCTCAATTAGTTGACGTTTCTTCACTCTGTCTGCATTAATCTGTGGCCTGACAAGTGTATAGGATAATTTCCTGCAGGTGGATTTGGCTGGTGCAGTGCTTCTGTGCATTTGTTCTGGAGGGAGGGAGAGAAAGATCCTATCAAGTCACACCATCATCAGTGTGCTGGCTTGTGAGCTGTCACACATTTTTATTTTAAAGGTGAAAAACGGGATTTCAGTATAGATTTAATTGTTATTATTTTCATACCTTTGAATCATTTGTGTTTCCTTTTCTCGAAGCTATCTGTCCACTTTTGCCAATATTTCTTCCTTGTTTGTGTGGGGAGCAACTGGGAGCAACTTGGACTAGACTAAGTTACTGGAATTAAGACTTATTCTATGCATCTGCTCTCCCACAATATGGCGCTGGGAGAGAAGAAAACAGCTTCTACGCAGCTGCCTCTTGCCAACTTGAGTGATGACCTCCAGGAGCTGATCCTGCTCCTGATTGGAGGAGAGCAGCGTACTCGGCGTGTGGGCAGCCGAGTTAGGATTGGCGGAGGAGGACTATAAAGGAGGAGAGAGACAACATGCACCAGGAACATCTAAGGGGAACATCTAAGGGGCACACCTGTGCAGCCCCCGAGAGAGCCGGCCGGCGGTGTGCCGCTCCCCCGCGGAAGTGGGGAATGTGGCAGGGGGAACCGCCCCTTCCACGGAGGTGGAAGGGACGGTAGCCAACCCGGGAAGAACCAGCAGCAAACCCGGGGAGGGCCGAGCAGACCAAAGAACAGTGCAGGGTCCTGTGTCGTTCCTCCACGAAGACGGGGATCGACAGTTTGCCTTTTTTTTTCTGAAAGATTTGAGGCCTTTATGATACCAGTGGTAAATATTTTGTCTAATTGTTTTTGTCTTTTGACATTGCTATGATGATTTTTGCCTTATCTCTTAAGGTTTTTATGCAGATGCATTTTTTATCTGTGATGTTTTCTGGTTTTTGTTTTTTCATAGAAAAGAATTCCCTACTTTGAAGTTATATACTTTCCCATTGTTGTTCATGGATAATGACTCTATTTTAGTATTTATTTATTTATTGGGTTTTTGGATAGTCTCTTATGAACTACTTGTTCAGATACTTTGTTTTTCAAGTAGGTCATGTTTATTTTTTTTATCAAGGAAAAAAGTATTCTGGGCATACTTTGTTGTGAGATACATGTGTTGGAATGTCTTCTCCTTGACTTGCGTCCTGACTGTCTTTGGTAGTACCTTTTGGTAAATAGAAACTTTTAATTTTTTTTCTTTGCTTTTTTCTTTTCTTTCTTTTTCTTTTTTTTTGGACAGGCAGAGTTAGAGACAGAGAGAAAGGTCTTTCTTTTCCATTGGTTCACCCCACAAATGGCCACCATGGCCAGTACACCGTGCTGATCCAAAGCCAGGAGCCAGGTGCTTCCTCCTGGTCTCCCATATGGGTGCAGGGCCCAAGGACCTGGGCCATCCTCCAGTGCCTTCCTGGCCCACAGCAGAGAGCTGGACTGGAAGAGAGGCAACCGGGACAGACTCCGGCGCCCCAACCGGGACTGGAACCTAGGGTGCCGGCGCCGCAGGTGGAGGATTAGCCAAGTGAGCCGCGGTTCCGGCCTCAATTTTTTTATAGTACAGGTTATAAACCTTTTTCTTGGTATGTTTTGCGTCTTCAAAGAAGAAGCTTTGCCTATATCAAGGTTATAAGGAAATTATAGAGTATTTAAAATGACAAAATAGGCTGGGAGACCAGGAGAAGCACCTGGCTCCTGGCTTCGGATCAGCGTGGTGCGCCGCCTGCAGCGTGCCGGCTGCAGTGGCCATTGGAGGGTGAACCAACAGAAAAGGAAGACCTTTCTCTCTGTCTCTCTCTCTCACTGTAAACTCTGCCTCTCAAAATAAATAATAAATAAATAAATATGACAAAATAAATTAGAAAATATCCAAGTAAACTGAAAAGTCCAAAAAGCTTTACAACGTAAATAATCAAGATTTAGCATTTTGCTTCAAATCTGTTAGAAGTAGATTGTGTGTGTGTGTGTGTGTGTGTGTGAATGAATGAATGAATGAATAAGCAGATGAAACAACTATGATCAAATGCCCCAACTTCTGCTTCCCTATAGCTGACTACCATTTGGAGGGTATCATTCTTATATCTATTTTATAATTTTCCCCAAATGTAGACACATCATCACACATGGTAGAATATTTCATATTTTATATAAAATAAATATATATTTATTATAAAATATTTTATATAAAACAAATATAAATATATAAATTATATTTTATATAACTCGTATATATACACACACATATATTTTGTAGTTTGTTTTATCTCAGTATGTAGCCATGTAGATCTAGTTCATTCATTTTTTGGGGGAAGATTTTATTTATTTGAGAGGTAGAGTTACAGACAGTGAGAGGGAGAGACAGAGAAAGGTCTTCCTTCTGTTGGTTCACTCGCCAAATGGCCGCAACGGCTACAGCTGCACAGATCTGAAGCTAGGAGCCAGGTGCTTCTTCCCGGTCTCCCACGTGAGTGCAGGGGTCCAAGCACTTGGGCCATCTTCTACTGCTTTCCCAGGCCACAGCAGAAAGCTGGATTGGAAGAGGAGCAGCCGGGACTAGAAGTGATGCCCATATTGGATGCTGGTGCCGCAGGCGGAGGATTAACCTACTGCGCCATGGCACCGGCCCCTAGTTCATTCATTTTAACATATTTGGCATTCAGTAATAGAAATAAACAGTAGTACATTCATTCATCTTTTATTCATATCTCTCAGTATAGTTTTTTTTTTAAGATTTTTTTTTTATTTGAAAGAGTTATAAAGAGAGGTAGACACAGAGAAAGAGGTCTTCCATCTGCTGGTTCACTCCCCAGGTGGCTGCAACGGCTAAAGCTGTGCCGATCTGAAGCCAGGAGCCAGGAGCTTCTTCCGGGTCTCCCACATGGGTGCAGAGGCCCAAGGAATTGGGCCATCTTCTGCTTTCCCAGGCCATAACAGAGAGCTAGATTGGAAGAGGAGTAGCCGGGTCTAGAACCGGCGCCCATAAGGGATGCCAGTTAACCCGCTGTGCACAGCACCAGCCCCTGTATAGTTTTTAAATATGCCATTACGGGTCATTTCTCTTTTTTAGACATTTAGGGCCCATTTTCCTAGTGTAAATGAGACTGAAGAAAGTAGTTTTTTGTAAATTATGGTGTTTAGAGAATCATTTTCCCTAGAGAGGTAGCAAAAAATTAGTTGTCACAAGTATAGGTTTTGAGCCAGATGGGCTAGTTTCAGATTCAGTGTCTTCTCTTACCAGCTTTGCAACCTCGCTTGACTTCTCTGAGCCTTATTTTCCTTATCTATGAAATGTGGCTAATGATAGTTCTGTTCATTGGGGTGATTCATGTGGAATTCTTAAGAAAAGTGTCCACGAATGTTAGTTATGATTAGGCTCCTGGGAGTATGGTTCCTAGGACACAAGTGTGAATGTTTTTAAGGCTATAGATACATATTGTCAAATCTAAGATGATCCTTTCAATTGTAAGTCTGTAGTTATCTCAAGCAGTGACAGATGAATTTTTACTTTGGTCTGTGACAAATTAAATCAGTAAAACTAGAGAGAATACTCTTGGAATAATCTCAAACAGGCTGAGCAGCTAGACAGCTTGACTTCAGCTCTGCCTCTTTTCCTGTTTGTTTTGTTCTAATTTATTTGAAAGGAAGAGTTAGGGAGAAACAGAGAGATCTTCTATCCAAATGGCCACAGTGGTCAAGGCTGGGCCAGGCTGAAGCCAGGAGCCAGGAGTTCCATCCTGATCTCCCACGTGGGTGGCAGGGGCCCAACCATGTAGGCCATCTTCTACAGCTCTCCCAGGTGTATTACCAAGGAGTTGGATTGTAAGTGGGGCAGCCAAGAGTCAAACCAACCTATTCAGGATGCTGGCGTCATAGGCAGTGGCTTAACCCACTGCAGCACAACAGCCCTAGCTCTGCTTTTTTTATGAAGCTAAGTGTGTAATTGCTGGAAGCAAACCAGATACTTTTATTATTCGCTTCTTGGTGTTGCTGTGCTTGTATTTGTATTTTAGAATTATGGGACAGGACTGTTTGACCTGAGGATCCCTCCCTTTTCCATGCGTCTCCGCAGGGCAAAGAGCAGGAGCACACATTTGTCTTTAGACTGGATCATCCCAAAGCATGCAAGCATTTGTGGAAGTGCGCTGTGGAGCATCATGCCTTCTTCCGCCTCCGAGGCCCTGTCCAAAAGAGTTCTCATCGGTCAGGATTCATTCGGCTGGGATCACGGTTTAGATACAGGTTACTTTTATTGTGTTTTAATGTATTTATTTATTTGACAGGAGAGTGACAGAGAGAGGGAAAGGGATAGGGAGAGAGAAGATCAATCTTCTGTCTGCTGGTTCACTCCCCAAATGGCTGCAGTTGAATCCAGGAGCCCAGAACTCCAACTGGGACTCTCACGTGGGTGTCCGGGCCATCTTCTGCTGCCTTCACAGGTGCATTAACAGGAGGCTGAATTGGAAGCAGAGAAGCCAGGCAGTCTGTTACAGGGTGCGATGTGGGCATCACAGACAGCAGCTTAACCTGTGAGGCCACAGTGCCAGCCCTGTATACAAGTTAATTTTAACGGTTGCTTTCTCTATATTTCATTCTTGCATAGAGGCCCAAAAAGCCAGTCCTCTGCTTTTCAGATGTGGAAACTAAGGCATGGAGACATAAGTGATTTGCCAATGTCTTCAGTTGGCCAAGACAAAAAAGATTTAGCTGGTACTATTATTGGTTGTAATTTCTTGAAAAGATGGGAAAACGCAGTAATTGTGTAATTTTTTTATCCCTCTTGACATTCACTTTATACTGACAAACTCCTAATTTAAATGTGTTTAACAAGAGTCTTAGGCATCTGCCACCCAACGTCTGCATACCAGGTAGAAAGAGGATATCTTGCCCTGAGTATGATGTTGATCTCAGTAAAATTTGTGATTCTTTATAATACTGAAGTTCCATTTCTTTAAAAGATTTATTTGAAAGAATAACAGAGAGTGAAAGACCCGGGTTGGAGGGGGGGTGATATATCAGTCTTCCATCTGCTGGTTTACTCCCAAGTGGCCATAATAGCCAAGTCTGGGCCAGACCAGAGCCAGGAGCCAGGAACTCCATCCTGTTTTTACCCATAAGGGTAGCAGGGCCAAGCAGTTGGGCCATCTTGCTGCCTCTCCAGGTGCATTAGCAGGGAGCTGGATAGAAGTGGAGCAGGTGTACTCAGACTGGTAATCTGACATGGGACTCTGGCATCGCAGGTAGTGGCTTAACTCACTGTGACACAATGCTGGCCCAGTTACATTGTTCTTATGGACTCCTTGTTTGTGTCATGGGTCAGAAATATTTTCGTTTACATTATGGTGGATTGTTGGTTGTGAGTTTTCAGCAGGCCCCTGGGAATCAGCATGATTTAAAGGACTGGATGGAAGCGAAAATGTGGTGGATCATGTATAGCGTGTGGAGTTCATGGAAGAGAACTTCCATTGTACCTGTATTAAAAGTAGGGAGGCATTTTCTTAAAACAGTTGTTCAGAATAATTTTGCTGAAATATTTTTAACAGTGTAGCACAATTAGGAAAAGCAGCTGGAAGTACCATGGAGTGTGGACAGGGAGGAGAGGACGTCCATAAAAGCACAGTGGCCCCACACGCCCCGGGTTCTCACGTGGTGGGCATGGGCAAGGGGAAAGCCAGTATCACCTCCTGCATGTTTCCCTAAGTCGAGAGCGAGGATGATCTGCTATGGCAGAGACCTCAGAATGTAGGAGGAGTTTCTCAGGGTGGAGTTCAGGGTGAGTCTTTCAGGGAGAACTGACATACAGACTTTATCTCATTTATGTTCGCCTCCAACTCACTTACTCTTGTTATTACACCTCATTTATTTTAGTGGGAAAACTGAGTACCAGACCACAAAAACCAATAAAGCAAGAAGATCCACATCCTTTGAAAGAAGGCCCAGCAAACGATATTCTCGCCGAACTCTGCAAATGAAAGGTGTCGTGCAGCCTGTTTGAAAGCATGTCCTTCCTGGCCAGTCCTGGGCTGCTCTTGTTTACTCGAGAGCACTGACTCTCCTGAGGGGTATTCCCGTCATCCAAAGGTCTCTTCTCGCATAATCAGTCTCATGAGATACAAGCGGAGATTCCGCTTGTCGTTAGTCCCAACTCAGATGGTATTCCGAGGTTGTGTTCAGCTGTTACTTGAGCAAGTATTGACTATCTTAGTGTTTTTCTAGCAGCACTCCCCCTCCTCCATTTTTGTTAAAGTTCGTGTCTTAACTCCTGTTCACAATTAGTTGTCTCCTGGTTTGTTGAACCAGTAAGTGAGATAGCATTCGCCATGGTGGTGTCTGTCAAGGCGGCTGCCTGCAGGGCTCCAGCACTGCCTTTACCTGCAGAGGGGCGCTGCTGCTGCAGGCAGCTAACTTAGGGCTCCCGGAAAGCCAGTGCCACCTGCTTTCTCTTTTGCTGATTCTTCGTGGGAGTGGTGTAAGTCAGCTTCCTCCTTTTCCTAGCAGCACCAGGAAGTTTTGAACGTTGTGGTCAGGGAAAGCTCATCCCTCTACCTTCTGGTTTCTTGTGGTGAAGATCAGTCTGCCGATCGGCAGCAATTCCTTCCTTATCCTGGATCCTGGCTTTTGCATTTGGCTGTGTATCCAGAGGTTTACCCTCAAGAATGGTGGTCTTTCCTGTATGGGTTTTACAAAAATCTGCATCTTGGTGGTGGCCCCACTGCTGATGGCAAATAAGGAAGCTTCTCTCCCTTTTTGAGTTAAGAATTTCGTTAGTGCCTTAAAAAATTCATCATCAGTGTATACCACTCATACATATTTCCAAATTCATAAATGTTTTATATAGCTTCATTATGTAAGAAAAAGCATGGTTTACTTTTACAAATAAATTAAAACTTGTGTTTGATTTCAAATCTGAATTAGCATTGAACTACAAATTGAATTTTAAGTATATACAGTGTCAGGGCCATCAGTGGTGTCCAAAAACAATTATTATGTAATGTTTCACGGTATTGATTTTTTAAAAGGATTTATTTATTTACTTGAAAGAATTGGAGGGAGAGAGAGAGATTCTATCCCCTAGTTCACTCCTCAAATGGCCACAACAGCCAGGGCTGGCCATGCTAAAGCAGGGAACCAGGAGCTTCATCAGGGTCTCTTATGTAGGTGCAGTGTCGAAAGCACTTGGGCCATCCTCTGCTGCTTTCCTAGGTGCATTCGCAGGGAGCTGGATCAGAAGTGGAACAGTGGGACTCGAACCAGCGCCCATATGGGATGCTGGAGCTCTAGGTGGTGGCTTAATCCTCTGTTCCACAGTGGCGGCCCCCATAGTATAGATTATTTTTAAAATGCTGATTTATATTCAGAATTTTTGGTGTTGCTTTAAAATAATACATAACTGTAAGTGAAACCATTATAATTTGTGATGGTTTAAAACTATTAAGTTGTTTCTTTTCCCCTGACAATGATTCAAAATCCGTCAGCTCATGCTAGGAGGCTTGCAGATGGGACTGTTTTAAAGGAAAACATGTTCTTGTTGCCTTATTTTTAAAAAAATGATAATTGACATTATTGACTCTAATGATATGAACCCCAGAACACTGTTGTAAAATGAAGGTTTTGAATCTCCTGGGAAACAGTTTGTAAAGCAGCTAGTGGAGCGTTTGCTTTGATGCCTAGTGAAGCACTTTGTCATGTAGGATGAGACTAATGAGATGTTACCTTTCTTCTTCTGTCAGCAGATGCAGCAAAACCCGAAGAACCCAGGTGAGTAATGTCTTGTAACTTAGGAACTGATACAGAATGTTTTGGAATTATGGAGTTGTTGTTATCATTAATAAAGCAAGTATTTGTTGAATACTGATCAGTGTCAGATTATCCCAAGGCATGGAGATGGAGCGAGGGACAAATAGGTACATAATGGTAGATACAGTTCTGATGTGACAAAATAAAGCCGTGAGGTGAGAGTATCTGTGCTATTCATGATGTGAATGACGTACGTATGTTATTGGCAGGTAACTGAGGCTATGCAGATAAATAAATTGTGCTTAAGCAGAGGGAGCTCAAACAGCAGAGGTGGATTTGCAAATAAGCAGTTTTGTTCCTGGGATAAGTCCCACTTGGTCGTGGTATATAATTTTCTTTTACATTACATGCTATGTTGCTGCATTTTCTGTGGTAGTAATTTGTTAGAAATTTTTTTTTCTTTCATCTTATTTGAAAGAGACCAAGACAGAGTGATCTCCCATGTGCTGGTTCACTCCCAAATGCACTCAATAGCTGGGTCTGGACTAGACTGAAACCAGGATCCAAGAGTTCAGTCCTGGTCTTCCACGTGGGTGGTAGGGACCCCAGTACTTGAGCTGTTACCTGCTGCCTCCCAGGCTGTGTATTGGCAGGAAAGCTGGAATGGGGGGCCAGAGCCAGGACTTAAATCTAGGCAGTCTGGTATATGATGCAGGTGTCTCAACCACTATGCCAAATGCCTGCCCCTTTTGTTTTCTTTTCTTTTTAAGTAAGATTTATTTGAAAAACAGAGTTTCAAAGAAGGAGAGAGAGAGAGAAATCTTCCACGCACTGTTTAACTCTCTAAATGCATGTAACAGCTGGGGTGAGGCCGGGAGACGTGAATTCCATCTAGGTCTCCCACCTGGGTGGCAAGAATGCAAGTACTTGTACTATCATGTGCTGCCTCCCAGGTGCATGAAGCAGGAAGCTGGATTGGAAGTGGAGTAGCTGGAACTTGAACTGGCACTCCTATATGGGATGCAAGAGTCCCAAGCTGTGGCCTAACCCACTGTGCAAGAGCCCTTTTCTTTTCTTTTCTTTTCTTTTATTTTTTTAAGATTTATTTATTTGGGGGCCAGTGCCGTGGCACAGTGGGTTAAAGCCGTGGCCTGCAGTGCCAGCATCCCATATGGGTGCCAGTTCAAGTCCCAGCTGCTCCACTTCCAATCAAGTTCACTGCTATGGCCTGGGAAAGCAGTAGAAGATGGCCTAAGTCCTTGGACCCCTGTGCCCGGGTGGGAGACCCAGAAGAAGCTCCTGGCTCCTGGCTTCGGATTAGCTCAGCTCTGGCCGTTGCAGTCATTTGGGAGTGAACCAGCGAATGGAAGACTTCTTTCTCTCTCTCTGGCTCTACCTCTCTCTCTAACTCTGTCCTTCAAATAAATAAAATAAATCTTAAAAAAAAGATTTATTTGAAAGAAAGAAAAGGGGAGAAACAACAGCTACAACAGCCGGGGCTGGACCAGGCTGAAGCCAGGAGCCTGGAATTCCATCCTGGTCTCCCATATGGGTGGCAGGGGTCCAAACACTTGAGCCAGCATCTGCCGCCTTCCCAGGTGCATTAGCAGGGAATTGGATTGGAAGCAGAGCAAGGGACGTGAACCAGTGCTCCAAAATGGGATGCTGGTGTCACAAGCAGCGCTTAACCTAATACACTACAGTGCTAGCTCCCTTTGATTTTATAACATAACTTCTACAAGTGTAGATTTTTAAAAATATTTACTTATTTATTTGAAAGGCAGAGTTATAGAGAAGCTGAGGCCAAGAGAGAGAGAGGTCTTCCATCCACTGGTTCACTTCCTAGATGACTGTTAACCAGCCCATATGGATGCCAACACTGCAGGTGGTAGCTTTACCCTCTGTGCCACAGCGCCGGCCCCATACAACTGTAGATTTTAAGTATTGCTTAATTAGATTCCATAAGTTTTGGTGTTTTTTTTTTCTTCATGCCAAATTATTTTCTAATATCTCTTGTGATTTCTTCTTTGACTTCTCGGTTATTTAGCAGTGTGTTGAGAATCTCCAAGTTTGTGGATATCGTAGAGTATTTTCTTATTTTATTCCGCGGTGGTTAGAGGACATACTTTGTGTGGTTTGAGCTCTGATGGCTGCGTGAACATGAGTAGGTAACAATCATGGTGTGGTGTAGTGTTTGTCAGCCGTGAGCTTGCGTTAGAGTCTGCTGAGTGCCCACGAAAGAACTGGACTCAGACCATGCTCACAATCTAGAGCCTTTGTGAATTTGTGTGCCCAAGCCGCTTCAGAAAGCTTTTTGGTTGCTTTTCCGTACTGAGTATGATCAGCCTCACTTTGAGATTTTTGCTGTTTGCTTTTTTCTCTTGGAAAGCTATTGAAGCTAGACTGTGTTTAAGGGCTTTAAAACGATAAAAGCTGTCTGTGGTTTTGAACAATGGCTCCCCTCAGTTGCCATGGCTGTCAGTTGGCTGTTACAGGTAAATACGGGGATAGAGCAGAAAGGACGCGAGGGATTCTTTCCATGGGGAATTGTTAATTTGGCAAAAAAAAAAAAAAAAAAAATTTGTATGTGTTCTCTGGGCTGTACACTGTTTCCTTGGAGTTATTTATAAGGTATGCTTTTAAGAAAAATGGCAGAGAAATATTAGCGGTGTTCTGTGTTTTTAAACTGTTTTGTTTGTTTGGGTCATGGCTGCTTTCCTCCAAAGGAGGTTGGGACAGAGTGTTAGAGCTGCAGTAAGGGGTGAACTCCTAGTGAAGTTAGCGGGGAGGCAAACAGTGTTCAGGCAATGAGATGCTGTTGAAACGTGAAGTGCTGCCTTTCATGCTTCTGAAATTCACATATCTGATCAAAAAGTGGGTATAGTCTTATTCCTAGGATTAATATGATTTAACTTTAATGCCTAAGTGTTGCTGTCTTTCATTGGTGATGCGTCTGGCTCTGGAAAGCACAGAAGGTGGGATACTAAAGGAGCCTTTTTACTGTGGCAGTGAGGGGTAGAGGGAGAACGGGCTCCCCCGAGGTTACTGAGCATCAGTCACACCCGTGCTTCAGAGAGCCCGAGCTGGGCCTGGCGTGGGTGGCCTCTCAGGCCTGCCCTGCGCTTCTGTGTGTGGGAACAGTTTTGCTCCAGTGAACCATGGAAAACTACACTGTTTGAAAGGGTACAACTATTTGACCTAAAGAGCTTTTGACCTTGTAAACTTTGGAATTGGCTGATGTCAGTTATTTTCCTTATTATGGTTTCTCTCTTAACTTCTCCCTTGTGAGTCTTGACTGACAGAGTATATTAAGAAGAGGGGACTTTTTCAAGGGCGGTTGATATTCCAGTTACTGGTATTTTTTGTATAGCCTGAACGGGGGGAGGGGATTACTGCATGTAATCACTTAGAAAGGGGAAGCTTGGCTGGGGTCGGTAATGCCAAGTGATTCTCGCACTCCTGGAACTGGAAGAGTGCATATAATTGTGAGAAAACAGTGCTTCGTCATCGCAAATGATTTGAAGCAGGAAGCTGTGATCCAGCTAATATCACCTACAATAAGCACTTCTTTTTCATGTTATTCATCACCTGCTGAAGTTAGTGCCAGTAAAAGAAAAGCTTCAGAGAGTAACTAACATCCTGTAGACTAGTGATTCTGACTTATGTACCATGCAGGCCAGGTGAGAGTCCATTGATTTTTAGGATAGTGGTTATGTTCCCCAACGTAGTGTGTTCTGCAAGAGCAGTATGGTTGGTAAAAGAAATTGTGCCTGACACACATGCAATTTACAATTGCTGTAGCAATGGATCTATGCAAAACAGAGAGAACCAGCAAACAGAAGATCTTCGTCTCTGCCTTTCTAATAAAATTAAAATAAATTAAAAACTTAAAAAAATCCACTTAAAAATACCGTTTCGAGGCAGGTGACGTCCTGCAGTTAAGGGTACCAGCTGGGACAGCTGCATTCCCTATCCAAGCGCCTGGGTTCACATCCAGCTGATGTGGAGCCTGTGAGGCAGTGGTGATGGTTCAAGTAACTGGGTTCCTGCTGCCCACATGGCAAACCTAGACTGAGTTCCTAGCCCAGCTGGGAGCCACTGTGGGTATCTGGGAAACAAACCAGCAGACTGGAGTTCTCTCATGTATCTCTCTACCTCTTAAATCAATGAAAAAAAATTTTAAATACTGTTTTGCATAGATCCATTGCTACAGCAATTGTAAATTGTAGCTTGTTTCTTTCAAGGGGTTCTCTTTTCTAACTTCGCATATGTTTTCTTTTACCTCTTGTGAATTCTTTACTTCAGAGATACCAATTATTTGTATATGAGAATGTCTAAAGTCAGCAAGCTTTTGCTTCTCTTTTATTGTGGTAGCATCTCATCTTTGATTTCCTACTTAATCAAATATTTGCTGTATTTCTATGTTCTGTAGTTTGTTCCTATTTGCTGTATTACAGGTTGAGGTGTTTTAAAGTGCCTTGGGTGGGGGTGGGCAGGAGGATGTTTACAACCTAAACTAAAAATCTGAAGATGTTTTAAAATTACTTGAGGGCCGGCGCTGTGGCTCACTAGGCTAATCCTCCGCCTTGTGGCGCCGGCACCCGGGTTCTAGTCCCGGTTGGGGCACCAGATTCTGTCCTGGTTGCCCCCCTTCCAGGTCAGCTCTCTGCTGTGGCCAGGGAGTGCAGTGGAGGATGGCCCAAGTACTTGGGCCCTGCACCCCATGGGAGACCAGGAGAAGCACCTGGCTCCTGCCATCGGATCAGCGCGGTGCGCCGGCCGCAGCGCACTAGCCGCGGCGGCCATTGGAGGGTGAACCAACGGCAAAGGAAGACCTTTCTCTCTGTCTTTCTCTCTCACTGTCCACTCTGCCTGTCAAAAAAAATTTTTTTTAAATAAAAAATAAAATTACTTGAAAGAGAAGGTACACACAAAAATTTCTAACATTTAAGTTTCTATTGAGACCTTTTGAAATAGGAAGTTCTGAGCTCTTGCTGACACTTGGGCTTCTTTTTTTTTATATATAGATTGATTTATTTTATTTATTTGAAAGGCAGTTACAGAGAGAGAGAAAAATCTTCCATCTGCTGGTTCACTTCCCAAATGGCCGCAGCAGCCAGAGCTGGGCTGATCCGAAGCCAGGAGCTTCTTCCAGGTCTCCCACGTGGGTGCAGGGGCCCAAGGGCTTGGGCCACCTTCGACTGCCTTCCCAGGCCATACAGAAAGCTGGATTGGAAGTGGAGCAGCCCATATGGGATGCTGGCCCCTACACGGGTGCTTCTTGAGAGGGTGGTGGTGTACAAAAGAAAGGATAGATGTGTATGTGGGCATTTAAGTTGGATGCCTTGAATTTAGGAAATGATTTGTTCTGCTCTTTACCATCTTTTACCATCTTCGACCAATGATGAAGCAAGGTTAATAGTAGTGTATACATCTTAAGCAGAATTAAGGTAACAGTTGAATAGAAACATCAAATGAGCAGGTTTATGGAAATGGCAGTTGTTTACTTATAAATGTTTTCTAGGCCTCTGACATTCTTAGTTTTGAATAACATACTTCATTTTCTTTATTTGAAATAAAACAATGTCTTAAGTGCTGTTTTCTTTAGGGTACTCTTACAAAGTGAAGCCCTGAAATTTTATAGATAGTTTCTTAATCACTGTTTTTTCCCCTTTTCAGTGTTCACAATAATGTTTCATCACAGAGTAATGGCTCCCAACAGGTAAGACAGTATGATACTCTCAACCACTGGAACACCATGGTCAAATACAGCAAACAGTGGTAGTATTAACTGGATTTTCAGAGAGCTGTGACCTTGTACAAGTTTTGTGCAATTCTCTTTTTCTTATCTTTGGAGTGGTACAGTAATGCCTTAATTCCCTGTTGCTTTATTCTCTCAGGTGGTATAAACAGAACAGATGTTCTATAAAACATTTCTATCTCTGTCAATCCAGAAAAATGAATAAAATTTAATATTTGGTTAAAGCATCTGTCTCTACAGTGATGTGTAACCTTCAAGCATTTGTTGACATTGTATTGTTTGGCTAAGTGATAGTATCCATTGTAGTGTTCTGTTTGTTGTAAAGAGCTGTTATTAAGGCAGAGTAGGTGATTTTTATGATTTCTATGCAAAGGCTTGGAGTGCGAGATCTGCTGTGCCTGTGATTCCTTCCACGACCTCCGGGCCTGTGTTGGTGGAGATAGAGAATCTTCCACGGAGTCCTGGGACAGAGCAGCACGACAGGAGATGGTTTGTTCACGCCTTAAACCAAAGTATTGCTTGCTTGACCGTATTCCAAATTCCGAGCCATAATCTTAAGTGTACTTTATATACTTGAAGGCAAATTATTCATATTTGTGAGGTGAAGGGAAGCATGTTGCTGAGCAGTTACGTGGGCTGGCAATGGGGAGGGGAATGCAGCTGTCTCGAGGAACAGCACCAGCCAGCTGCCTTTGTCTGGATCAGCCTGGTCCGGGAGTGGAGGCTGGCTCTCTGGGGAAAAGGACTGCTTTGCCAGTCACTGGAAGCCCTCCCAGATGGATAAGGAAAATATGTGTGCTCCATGGTACGCCACACAACAAGGTGTTACTACTTGGGGTGTGTTTTCTTCATTAAAGACTGGAGATAAAGCCAAAGAGGAGACATGATTCAGGTTCAGTAAAACAAAATGTGACATACTCTGTTTGGAGATGGAAAGATAATGTGTTGGGAGGCAAAATTTTCAGGGTCTTTTCCTAGATGAACAGTAAATACACAAATATGAATACTTTGTGACTTCTTGGAGTTAATCAGTTGGATTCATTCTTTGCCAAATCAATGTGTGTGACTTGTATGGGGTGCGGGGAGGGGGGTGCTCCGTGGGAATGATTCCGTGGAGTGGTCATATCGGGCGCGACATCCATTCACTTCTTATGCGTATTTGGAATGAACTTTGATAATCATAGGCCTTTCTTCTTTTTCTCTTGCTCAGTTTGTGTAGTACCTGAAATCTAATGAGTTTCTGTGGTGATCTCAAGGGGCTGGTCAGCTTTCTGTGCAGCCAGTTCTTCTGCCTGGTGGTGGTTGGTGATTATTTTCAGTCTTTGCTATGAAATTTTTTTCACTGTTATTTTGGTGTAACTAACTGCAAGGTGCTTTGCTTTGGATGGTTGAGTATCTTTTTACGTCAGTTCCAGGTAACTTGCAATTAGGGTTGCAATTACGATTGAGGAAATTGCCTTTTTCCATTGCCTCCTTGTTAAAATTCTTTTTTACTTGGGAGTGTGTTGGGGTACCTTGTATGTGCACATGTGGGTACATGCTTAACAGTGTAAATATTGAGGCTTCTAAATGTGAAATTTTAGTCTTATTTTTTGACACCACTAAAAGTCTTCCTCAGCTTCTTACTGAGAGCATGGCTGCAGCAGGCAGCGATGCAGTCTCTCCTTGTTAACCACCAGGTCCTCTTGACAAGGAGGCATAGTATTGAGACTTCAGCTGAAAAAGAGCTGTGTTAATATATAGTGCCTTGTACGTGAATGTGGACTGAGAGTCCGGATGGGTTGTACCCTGTTTGGCAACACTAAATCTTTGTTTAGACTTTTTCCATTTTAATGGGTACACATTTAAGTCTGTTTAATTTGCTATTTTACACACTGCTCAGTTCCTTTGATAAAGCCTTTTTCAAAGAGAGAGCGTTAAATTTGATTGAATTTCAAGGAAAGTGGCCATTTGGAGCTGTGTGTCCTCCTTCATTTAGTGGTTGTGCTGAGACTGCACGCCTGTCGGCAAGGGCGTGGAACTGAACGTGGAGCTGACATGCGTGGGAGCCGTGGAGTCTGCCTTTCTTTCTGTTCCTGCATGCTTTAGTTCTTAGCACTTTTGGAAAACTATAACACAGTCCTCCTTTAGAAAGTCATAAGTTAATAACATTTGGAAATGCTCCCCAGGTTTGAACAATTGGGCAGAATAATGGACCATGCTAATTCTGGCAGATAAGCAGTTTAAGCTAAACCTCCCTCCTGTTCAAGTCTCCCGCACCCCTCCACCCCTGCCATCTTTTCATGGCAACTTATTTGAGTAAATGACTTGGTATAACAGTAACCTGTAATTATCAGGTGTTCAAAGTATCACCTTTGGAGAAATAATTCATTTGATTAAATTATGCGAATAGTTTATAAATAGTGAAACAAAAGCTGGTATAGTATTTAGAACTCTTACATCTATAGGGGATAACATAAGCCTAATTTAATTTTCTAAATTTTTAGAGACCGTAAGTGGAGGGTTCCAAATTTTGTGTGTTAGATCTGATGAACAGATAAGTCTTTAAGTTGAAGAAAGATGCTTTTATTTAAAAAAGAAACCCTCCATGTTTATTCTGAAAAACTTGTTTTAGTTTTCTCAAGGAAAAAAGATGAAAGTAAATAATATTTTGGTTAAATTAGGGAGAAACTGTTTTTAAAAATCCAGTTTTTAAAGATATCTTTTGCACGTGGTTTTTTTTCTTCCTTTGTAGCTGTTTTAAGTACATGCTGCCCCTTTTACTGTGTCCCGGAGCTTTGATTTGCTGCTCTTTCTACTGGAGGACCCTGGCCGTTCTGAGCAGGGCCTGCACGGATGCATGTTTCGCTCTCGCTGCTCTAAGAGGCCTGTCCTGTAGTGCTGTGCCAGACGGCATCTAATGTGCCTATTCACCTGTTCCTTTCGGGGAGCTAGAACCTCATCACACCTGTACCTGTTGAATTTCACTTTGAGATGCTGTGAACTTTGAGTATAGAAGGCACAGTCATTCTCCGTTAACTGGAAACGTGAATGGAAAATGACGTGGCCCGTAGAGGGGAGAGGATTTTTAAAATGCCCTCTCTAAATTTCCTTTCCTGGATTTCAGTTTTGTGAAATCCCTTAATTGGGGGGTAATTTTCAGCATTGCCCTTCTCTACCTGTGCCTTGGCTTGAACGTAGAATTCTCATTTCAAGTATTTGAATTAAGTGGGTTGTGAGTATTTTCTTCCTTTCACTGAAACCCCGAACAATATTTCTGCCCGTGATTTTTGTGGCAGTATCAGGAACAGATACAGTGTTTTGCTCTCTGTCAAGTCCCCGCTAATTAATTCACTAAACTGCTTCTGATTACTTACACGTATTTCCATCACGTTTACCTTTGTGGACCCTCGCCCCCTTGGTTACTCTTGGTCGCTCTCCTTGCATGGGTAGGTGCTGATAACCGCTCGTAGCCGTGTGCATGTTCATCACGGTGCTTTTCTCCTTTATGACATCCGTTTTCTCCTGTTCCTGTTGACTAACTGTGCTCCCCTCCCACTCCCAACCATCCAGGCTCTCTGCTGCCAGTGACTGCTTTCAACGTGGTGGAAACCAGTGGAACACAAGGGCCTTGCCCCCACCCCAGACTGCACATAGAAACTACACTGATTTTGTCCATGAGCACAATGTGAAGAATGCAGGAGTCCACCACGGTGCTCATATCCCCGGCCACGCAGCCATGACTGAGATCTAAGTCTTAACCCCTTAGCCATGGGACTCTGTTGTACAAGTTGATGGTTACACGTTTCCTGGTGTCTGTAAAGGACGGATCGCAGTAGGGGTGCTTGGGAGAATTTATTTTGAACTGAGTCACTAGTTATATAGTGCTGATGTGATTTGATTCCTCTGTGAAAAACAAAAGGCTCTGAAGCAGCCATGATGCCCTCTGTTTCTGGGTGGAGACGTGTGTGCACCGCTCCCATCTGGCAAGGGGTCTCGGGGTCCTAGCCTGTCGGAGCCTCACTCAGAACGTCTCAGGAGGAGGTTTGTGTTTGTGAGCAGGCTTTCCCTTCTCCACCCACCATGTGCCCTTCAGTTAAGACTGAGGTTAAACCAGTCAGAGCCTGAAGGCACATCTGAAATGAAGTGCATCTGGTTATGGCCGGTCAACCTCCCATGGTATGTTTTAACACCATGCGTCCACGTGACTCTCTGAACTGGCCCGTGCTTAGAACTACCAGCTAAGTGCCTAGGGGTTTAATTAATGTAATTTTAATTAAAAACACTTTTACTTCTTAATAAACACAAATATTTCAAGTTACTAAAATCAGAATAATGTCACATGTGTGGGGAGGTACATCTGGTTACTTTTGAATGGCCAACTGAATGCTTACGTTACTACTAGATGTTGATATGAAATGGAAAATGTATTTACTTTTGTCTTTTCACTTCATTCTCTTTTTCATCACCTACACCTGACAGATTGCCCAGGTTTGTAACAGCCTCAAATTCTAGCCTTGTACAACCTTTAAAATAAATGTCTAAAGCCAAAATCGTATCATTTCTAGAAGGACTGGATGTGTGTCAGAATTTTTGGTCCCTTTTGAACTTCAGAATGTCACGATCCAAGCTCTTTGAAATGTCTGTTCCTGATGAAGTGGCAGGTGATGGAAGTATTTCTTCTTTCACAGTTGTTTCAAATTTTAGAAGAATTTTTAAAACTTTTAAACTATGTGTGTAGAAATCTGAGGATATTTCATGTTCTGAGAATTCATAATTATTTAATATAACGAAGCTTCATTAGGTAAAAGCTAACCTGTTCAACCCATCCTGCTCACCTCCAGGGTCAGTTTTATCCTTCGGATGCTCTGCTAGACAGACAGGAAGGCTGCAGAGGGCTTGCACTCTGGACTCACAAGTAACACAGCTTGTTAGTAGGACACATGGTCAGCTAAACGGAAGAGAATGAAATACTGTGTAGGCAGGGTGCCGAGTCTTGAGTTTACCACCGTCATCCCCACGGGGACAACACCCAAAATCTTCCTCAGCAGTTGTTCCTGAGCGTGAACAAATTCGCATCTCACACAGCCCAGCTCCTGGCCTCCAAGCTTTTGGTCGTTCAGCAAGATCTCAAATTATTGCCACTGTTTGTGGTGATTCTTCTTTTAACAGGAAAAGAATCTAGATTACAATATTTTAAGCACAGAAACTCTGTGGCTTGTGCCATTTAGAAGAGACTTCATGGATATGACCACAGTGAAAGACCTGCTACTTCTATAAGTGTACTATTCCTATACAGGCTGGAGTGGTGTGGTGGACAGCGGTGCTCTCCCAGTCTCCTAGAGAGTCCCAGGGTCTGACTTCTCTAACTTCTGAATTAACCTTGACAGCTGCATGTCACACACTGCTACAGTGCCTCAGTGTAGCTTAGCAAAATCTAAAACTGGTGTGTGGGCAGAGTGTAACCCTGGGTTAAGGTTCTTGCACTTGTGTTGAAAGTGGCCTTTTAC